TTTACTTGAGTAACCAATTTAAATACTTTCTCTACCACTGCATCTGGATGTTTTCTAGATATTTTTCAATGTTATCTGTGTCGTTCAAACACTCAGCCACCTGACGGCTTTCACTTCACCCCTGTGTGACTTATAATGCACTTGTACCCAACCTTTTTTTGGCTTGTAGGGTTGTGACTAATGTCTATTTTCATTATTGATTATTCTGCCCATTACTTAGCAGTTAATACCAAAAGTGAAACAAGAACGCTCTTGTTATTGCACCACATTGTAAAGATACTCCAATTACAATTAAAAGTCTTGCATGTAATGTACCTGACGGATCAGAAGTAAAAATATGTATATCAGGTGATTATTACTGATGCATAAATGTGTTAGTGTGATTTTATTGTTGTAGCTGATTATGAAACACTTAATATACTGTTGGGCAGTTTGATGCTCATATGAACGCTGAAACAGCTTCTTCTTTCTTTAACCATTCTGCGAACATGTTGCTGGCAGTGTTGTATTAATATTCTTGAATTGTTTCTGGTTCCTGCGGAGCTGCAACTAATTATTATTTGATTATTTTCACTTTCGATTAATCTGTTGATTATTCTCTTGATCGATCAATTAATTGTTTAGTCAATAAAATATCAGAAAACAATAGAAAATGGCAACTGTAATTTCCCAGAGTGCAAGCTTTTCAAATTGCTGGAATAATTGAATGAACTCAAATATATTCAATTTACTATCATATGTGACAAAGAAAAGCACCAAATCATCACATTTTTGGAAGCTTTCAACTAGAGAATATCTGGGAAATTATTGAAATGATTTATTGATTATCAAGATAATGGTTTATGGTTTGACTGATCAATTTGACCAGTCTTTTTAGCTTTAATACTGACATAGTTAAGTTTGTTTTGGGCTGAGACACGAGTCCTGTGAGTGTATATAGCATATGATATACAGTATATACTGCTACACTACACTATACTTCTATAATAGGGCTATATTATTAGATAATTATTAGTTATGCATTAATATTTAACAGATCAACTAACTGACTAACCATTAAGCTACATTTTTACACACTAGTAGTTAAGTTTTTTTAACAGTGCATCATATTTTAGTTCTTCATATGTTTTGTATGAAGAATCTTGATTTGTAAAGCAACTAAAGTTAAATAGAATTAAAGCAGTGGAGAAAAAAAGTACAGTATTTTGTGGAGCAGAAACATAAACTGCCACAAATAAGTGGAGCCTTTGTTCAGCTTCTCTCTGATCCTCTAGCGTGTCATCCCGCAGTTTGCTGTAACAATGACGTAAAAGTGATGTAAACAGACTCTGTGTCCCACTTTCACACTGCTCTTCAACTGTGTTTGCCGTGATCTCTGTCAGCGATGAGAGGCTTCGAGTGTTGGAGCAGCTGGAGTGTTTGCTGTGTTCAGGCTGCAGGAAATCGTCTGTAACAGTGTGATTTCATTCATACAGTCGCGAACTGTGAGTCTGGTTTCTGTCAGAGCCGGCAGGTTAACTTTCCGACAGGCTGGGTATTCATACAGTCAGTGGGTCATCCTCTCTCAGGGACATTCAGTTTACAATGATATTAAACAGAGAAAAAAGACATTTTTTTTTACAACAGACATTTTTTAATACTTCATTGCAAGAGTCCATAAAACAGATTTATACTTGCTTACATAATGTAGAGCTGCAATGATCAGTCTATGAATCAATCAACAGAAAATCAATGTGTAAAATTTTTGAAAATCGAATAATTGTTTTACTCATTTTAAAGTAGATTAACTGATTTATATAGTACAGTAAAAATAAAATGATTATAATGTCCGTCTACAGAGAAGACACTAAAATAACTTATCATTAGTCCATCACTTTAACAGTGAACTGATCACACGACTGCACCTAACGATTATTTTCCTTAATGCTTTATCTGCCAGTTATTTTTTTAATTAATCCAGTCTTTGTAAACTCAACAATTATCTAAAGTCACGAAAGTCTTGTGTTAGACCAAAAGTCCAAATACCCCAATATATTTAGTTTCCAATGAAACATGACAAAGAAAAGCTGGAATTTTTCACTATTGTTGCTTGAAAAACAGATGAAACTATGAGTTGATTATCAAAATAGCTGCAGATTATCTTTCTAATCTAATTGGCTTTCGGCTCTGGTTACTTCTCAGGGCTGAATCATAAACAGAAGTTTGTTTATACCCTTCGCACCTTATCTTCTCCAATAGTTTGACTTAACTGATATTGATTTGTTATGCTTGTATCTTTGGCTTTTCTTGAGTGCTTCCTGCAGTGTGTAGAATTCGTTATTTTATTGTATTGCTTGACATATATACACCGATCAGCCACAACATTAAAACCAGTTCATGGAAAGAACTGCCTGCAGAGCTCAGAGAGAGGATTGTTTTGAGGCACTGATCTGGGAAAGGCTACAAAACATTTCTGCACAGAGCACAGTGACCTCCATAATTCTTAAATACAAGACGTTTGGAACAACCAGCACTCTTCTTGGAGCTGGCCGCCCGGCCAAACTAAGCAATCGGAGGAGAAGTGCTTTGGCAAGAGAGGTGACTAAGAACCCGATGGTCACTCTGGCTGAGCTCCAGAGATCCTTTGTGGAGATGAGAGAAACTTCCAGAAGGAGAACCATCACTGCAGCACTCACATAGCAGAGTGTCCAGATGAAGCCTCTCCTCAGTAAAACACATGAAAGCTGCTTGGAGTTTGCAAAAAGCACCTAAAGGACTGAACAAACAAGATTCGCTGCTCTGATGAAACCGAGCGTCATGTCTGGCAGAAACCACGCACCGCTCACCACCTGCCCAGTACCATCCCAACAGTGAAGCATGGTGGTGGCAGCATCATGTGTAGTGGTGTTTTTCAGCAGCAGGGGCAGGGTGGCTGGTCAGGGTTGAGTGAAAGCTGAACAGAGCAAAGTACATCGAGATCCTTGATGAAAACCTGGTTCAGCACACAGCACTATATAAACATATTTAAAACATAGTCTAAGGTTAGCGAAATTATTATTTGAATAGGAAATATTTGGGTAGACATTGCATGCCAACTTTTAGTACTTTTTAGAAAAATTTTGATACTCTGTGCTACAGGCATAACACAGAGTAACCAGATGTTCAATACCCAGATGTTTTTTTTCACCATTTAATCCTTTAACGACACTACACGCTCTTTATAGCCTCCTTTTAAGTCTGCAGGAGCTGAGTGGTTGATATTTAGAGACAGATAACATAAGAGGGCTGCGATGAGGGTGAAAACCAGCTGACCAGCTCATCACTACCCCTGATGTTTTCCCTCATGTGCATCGAAGACAGCTGCAGAAGACTCACTCCCTGCTCATAGTCTGCGTATTTTGTTGTTTTCTGACATTCCAGTTTGTTTTGCATTTACATGAGTAATCTATAAATAACCCTATCCCTCCCTCACTCCCCCATCTCTCTCTCTCACGGACAGGAAGTTGTTCTGTTTTTCATTCTAAACACTTGTTTCCTGTTTCACACGTTCTCATTTGGATTTCCTCTCCATCCTTTTCTCCTCTGTTCAGTGGCCCCATATGTATTATTTTATATTTACCTTGGTGCTTTAGTTTTTTTCTTTTCATCTCCTCATTTTCTCTTCTGGCTTTTGTTACTGTTCATATATTCACATGGAGTTTTATTTCAGTAAATGACTTTGTGACTGTGTCCCTGACCAGCTGGCTGAGAGTCTGAGCGGAGAGAGTTAGTGCCAAAAGAAATTGAAAGGCTGCTACTAACATTTAAACAGTGAACCTATTGATTATGTTTGCAATTAACCCATTAATACTTTGGTGTATAAAATGTCAGGAAAAGGAGAGAAATTCCCATCACATCTTCTCAGAGTCCAAGGTGACGTCTTCAAACGTCTTGTTTTGTTCACCCAAACAGTCCAAAACTGAAAGGTATTTAATTGATAATAATATCAGTATTTAAGTTACTCAGAGTCACTATTGACAATATACTATGTTCTTAGATCATTATTGTTAGTGCTGGAACATTTACTTGAATAATCAGTGAGTCAACAGAAAAGTAATCACCAACATCTTTGACAATTGAGTCATTCATCTGTCAGTAAGACTGAGGCATCTGCAGTCATGCCAGCAGCTAGTGCTAGTGACAGTAACATGCTGATACTGAGCAGGTATAACGTTTATCATATTCACATCTTAGTTTAGCTATTAGCATGTAGCTAATAGCACTCCCATCCACATTTTCTAGGTCACAAACTTTAGTACTGGAAAAATTTAACAATAACAAGTGTCCAGTCAGTAGTTATTGAAACATTTTACTCATAAGCAGAAAATAGGAACCTCATTGTGGCACTAAAGGAAAAGTCAAGGGCTCAACAAAGTCAGTAGGATTCGTCCTCCGGGGACCATAAATGTCTCTATAAAATTTCATGGTGATCCATCACATAGTTGTTGAGATATTTCAGCTCACTATGAGTGACACTTTGCATATTGTCACATTGTTTTAACATTGTCATTTGATATGTAACGTTATTCTAAAAATTATAAATTATAGCTGCTAAAATACACTGCTGTTTAAAGTATTTTTCCTTTAGTGAGTTTCACAACATCCGTGTTTCCAAACCTGTGTGCGTGTGTGTGTGTGTGTGTGTGTGTGTGTGTGTGTAATCTCAGCTGGTTCTCAGTGTGGGTAACTCATCAATAATTAAGTCCACTTGTCAACTTCTCATCTCACCAAAAACCATCTTTACTCTGCTTCATCCCTCCAGGATGGGACACACACTGTTTGTGTGGGAGACACTTATAGAAGTTAATTGATGGTCAGTTTTCTCAGCAGTAAAAACTCAATTGCTCCTTGCTGTCTCAAGTTTGTCTCTGCTGTGCACTTGCCTCCTGCCATCTATAGCTGCCTTGCTATCATATGACCTGCATACGACTTTGTAACATCTCTCTCTCTCTCTCTCTCTCTCTCGCCAGGTGACATACCTGTTGCTGATGTTGCTGTAGAGTCGTCAGTCTTCTCTGACTGACTGACCCCAACCAGACACACAGACAGGTAGATATGGAGAGTGGAGCTATGGAAATAGACACGAGTGCTGCTTCAGGTGGGTTGTCTTACTTAAACACCTTAAATTTTACCTAAAACTAATGGATTAGCAGTTGAAATAGTTGGCTAAATGTAATGGATACACTGAAGTAATTTGCTAAAAGTAACAAATGAAAGGTTGAAAGATCCAGCATGTGTAATAATAGTATGAATGCAAACTTGACTAAATGACAATTCAGTTGTATGAAAAAAAACAGGTGAAACTCTGGCTTGCTGTTGTTTTCATGTGTCCTAATTCATCAAAGGTGAACTTCAGGTGACAGTCTCACACAGATTTACCTTGCCACTGTGTGTCTTTGAGCATACAGTATTGAAACACAATGTGATTTTACATTGTCATTAATGCTGGCTCAGTCATGTCTTTATCGCTCCTTATCAAACTGGTGGATGAAAAGAACAGTTAGTTGACCTAGATATGCGGGCGGAGACTGACGCGTGTGATCGCTCAGCTCCACTTTTGTGTTTTTTCTTTGAATCAGTTGTAGTTTCTGTTTGTCAGCTTGAATACCTGCCAAACCCGATTGATGACTTCACACTTGTCAGGCTGACAGACAGATTATTTGCTCGATTGATCCTCAGACACCAGAGAGGAGTCAGAGTGCAGCATAGCCTGTCTGCGGCGCCGGGCCTGGGCCCAGAGCAAAGACTCCATCTGGCAAAAATCAGAACAAGAGCGCCGTGGCTCTCAGGGGCCCCAACAGAGCCAGAGAGACGGGGATGCACAGGGACCCTCTGAGGAACCAGGTTAGACTGAGCTGAACTGTCACTAAAGCAGTGTTGTAACCGGGGATATTCTCAAAAAAAACCCAAAATATTTCACATTAACCCTGTATTACATGTGCATCCAATATTCACTGGCATCTGTCTGCCATCCAGCAGCATCCTTAGCTGAGTGCTGAATAGGGCCTATTGTCAGACATTTTTATCTTCTCACAATTATATCAGTATCACCATATGTCAGCTAATAAGTAACATGAAATTGCCAGACAGAAAGGCCAATTGTATGGTGTATTGTATTTGAGGCAACCGAAAAACAGTGTCTCCATTACATAGTTTGTCCACCAGAGATCTTCAGCTGGAAAATCTGCCATTCAGTACATGTCTCGGTCTCAGTTTATTTATAACTTAATTTAAAGGATCCTTTTCAAAAAAATGTATGTTTATGTACATCACAAGACAAATATTGGTAGATATATTGATTAGATTTTTGTAACTCTTTAAGTATAGATATCGTGGCCTCAAAAACCCAGTGTTTCAGTCTCTGAAACGTAGAAATCTACTATTAGCGACATTAGCATTGTAGCTAAGATGGTGCTGTTAAGTACAGTGTCCCTGGAAGTTTCATCGGGGTAAATACTGTGCCGACCAACGTGCAAGGTTGTACCCTTGGAATGTAAACACGGCTTTATGCTGAAATGTGCTGAGATGCAGTTCCTCCAATGTCCACTAGATGCTGCTCTGACAAAACTCTGATTGGATTGTCGTGAATGGGAAAACCTCAACTTCTCGAGCAATACAATTACAATACCGCTGAAGAAGGGACGTGTGCAGGGTATGGCTAGGCGGCACAGATTAATTCTTATATCAAGTTATATGTACATTTGTTAATATCACAACATTGATGTGGTATTCCTCTTAACAACATTACACAACGCGAAGTGAAAGCAGACAAATATTTACAGTAGTGTATTAATTCCATCATGTTGTTCTGATTATAGGCTTTTGTATTTGTTAATTAACCTGTTTTTATCAAAATAAATAAAATACATATATGTCCAAACTATTGGATCGAGTGTCATGAAATTTGGTACAGATATTCCCGGTGCCCAGAAGATGAATACTGGCGATTGTGGTAAGCCTTCTGGACTTTCCCTCTAGCGTCTCCCCATTTGTGGTTTTGAGTGAAATGCCTCTATTAAGTGGATTGCCATGAAAATTGGTTCAGATGTTTGTGACTCTCACTGCAATGATTTTTGTGTCAATTTAACTCCACTATCCATTAGCTTTCTTTAATTTAAAACAGCTTTTGACACTTTGATTATTGAATAATTGTTTTAGCCATTCACTGAGCAAAACACCAAACTTTCAAATGTGAAGATCTGCTGCTTTCCTGTTTTCTATCATATTCACATTTAGACTATATTTTAGGACAGTTGGTGGGACGAATCTGGACATTTGAGAATGTCACCTAGCGCTCTGTGAAACTGTGAAATTCATGTTTTGCAAACAACATATTGAAAAATAACATCACAGATCGATTCATAATTAAAAAATGCTCATTAGTTGCAGGCACAGCAGTAAGAACAGGACATGGATGTGGGTCATTAACTAAACTGTGGTGGAATTGCAACCTGCTTGGTACCATGTTTTTAATCAGCTGCGATATGTACTGGCACTGATGTAATAGTTTTATAGCATGTTGTAATCACTATTGCATACAACATCTGCTGGCTTATTACTTTAACATGATCATCTGTCTCTCTCTGTCTGTCAGGGCAAGTTTCTAACAACATCACCAGCTGGTTGATTGAATGCAGGTACAGTATCCATTCACCACCTGATTAAAGGACCGTACCAATGTTTTTTAATGTCCTCTTTTAACCTGCCCACTGCATATTATATATATTAAAGCAGTGCAGACTTTTCAGATCAATGTGCACTTGATGATACATCTAAATAAAGCTGACAAAATGTTGACAGTGACAGATTATTTCCCTTAAGCCAGTTTCAAGTTGCTGCTGGTTGATTTTCTTAGTAATGAACTGAAACCAGTGATTCCCTGTAAGAAGGAAATAAGTTAAAAAAAACGACTGATGGTTAAGTGATGATCAGCAGGAATGTGTGTAAATAGCAATTCACGAAAAACAGGCAGTATGGTCCTTCAAATCCGGACTGACTGGTTGTGTGACAGACTGACTAACTGGTTTTTTTGCTTACTGGTTTATCAATGTGTTTTCCTGGTGTCCAGTGTTGTGTGCATTTAGGAGCAGTGTTATCAGGTGCTGATGTAGAACCAACACACAGCCAACGCCTAGACATACAACACACAGAACACACACACACACACACACACACACACACACACACACACAAAGCAGACCAACGCCCAGAGATAGGGCACATAGAGCAGTGAAGGAGAAGAAATAAAGAAAGGAAGAAGCTGACAGAAGACGGAAAGGAAGGCAGAAAAAAGAAAGGAGGGTAAACAGAGGAGGGGTTCCTCCTGCTGAGTCAACACTGTTATCACACACACACACAGTATTAGCCACTGTCACTCACAACCCTCCAGTTCTGATGTGTCCTTGGCAACATCACTATGGTAACATGACCAGCAGAATCAGAATCACTGGTTACTATAGCAACAGCCACCAGACAGAGGCCAGGGGCCAACATGGCAGCTGGTGGAAAGTGGGAGGATTAGTAAACTCTGCGGCTGCGCACTGTTACACAACCAACCGTGTGTGTGTGTGTGTGTGTGTGTGTGTGTGTGTGTGTGTTGAATGGTGGCATGAAGTTTGTCCCATTGATAAGAGCTGCAGGTTGTATAACAGCTCAGTGTTCCCAGCGTCCGGCTGTAGACCGCAGCTCAGACTCGATAGCTTACTGCTACTGTCAACTAGTCTGACCTGTCAGCTACTTAGCCTGGGATAGCTTGTCTGGTCAGTAGAGCTCCTGGGATAGGTAACAAGAACAGGATTTAGTGTGTGATATTTAGTCTTGCCTGGTCAGTAGCAGACTACAATAAGTAGCCTAGCCTGACTAGGAGTTGGACTGGGAAAGTACCTTAGTCTTAGCCTTGCTTGACAGCCTTAGTCTGACTCTCCGTTAGCCTGGGATAGTTAGCCCAAGCCTGGCAGACAGTGAGCCTGGGTAACTCAGCCTTAGCCTCACAGACAGTTAGCGTTTGGATAGTTAGCCATGGCGGTCAATTAGCCTTAGCTTGCCATGCAGTTATCCTTGGTTACTTAGCCTGATATGCAGTTAGCTCTGGCATAGTTATCCTTCACCTAACATGAGTTAGCACTGGGATAGTTAGCCTTAGCCTGAGGGGGAAAGCCTTAGCCTGGCAGTTAGCCCTGGGTTACTTAACCTTAGCCCGACAGGCAGTTAGCGCTTAGATAGTTAATAATGATAACCTGAGATACTTTGGTGTAGTTTGACAGGCAGTTGGCCTGGGATATTGTTATCTTAGCCCAAACTAGGCTTTATCCTAGTACACTACATATCGTCACATCCTTTTCAGTAGATAACAGGAAGTTAGCCTTGCATTATTGGCTGTCACCTGACTAACATTTAGCCACAATTTAGCAACAATAGGCTGTGATAAGTTGTGATAGCATAGATGGGTCTTTCCTTACAACAAGGTTTAAGCCTGATCTAGTGTGTTTTTGGATACTTAGTTTCATGGGTGACTTTGATGGTATAGTTTGGTTTATATCAGGAATCAGGAATTAGTCTAGGATAAACATGGATTATTACTCCCATCTTGATCAGGAGGGATAGATGGTGTAGCCAGGTTTGTTGTTAGCTTGCCTTGCCTGGTTAGGATGGCACTTTACCTGTTGGGCTAAAGGCATTTTTCAGCTAGCCCGATGTAGACAACAGTAGACAAGCATAAGGGTGAAACCCCGGTGGTGAATATTTTCTACGTAAACCCACTCACTGGCTACTGGAAGACGCACGTTGTTGCGAGTTGACACATCCTGGCCACTGTGTACCCTTGTCTTCTTATGTGTGGCATATCTGGTGTGTGGTACAGGCATTGTGTGACACGATGCTTATTGATGCAGCTGGTTTTTTTTACCACATATACTTTGTCCTAACAGGACCTGACTTCACTGACAGAGCGCTCTTTTGGATCTTTATGTTTTAAATAGTCAGTTTATGGTTTGGGTTGATGTATAACTATCTCTGTCTGTCACAATGTCCCATGTCCAGGACTCCCCTCGGAGCTTCCCTAGATGATCAGAGTGCTTCTCCCAGCAGAGGTAATCAACATTTTCTATACGTTTTGTTTGTGTATTACATTGGGAGGACACCAGCCTGTTAGGACACTGAAGTTTATGAGTAATACTTGAGACTAATCGTCATATTTTTAAAGCCGAGTTAACCTCAGGCGTGTCAGAATTGGTTGAGAAATTTCTCTTACTCTATATTACTGGGGACATGTTACTGAAAAGATTTCACAACTTAACTGCTTTGTGTGTGTGTGCACTGTTTGTGTGAGAACAGGACCGCTGAGGAACGGCTGCAGCTTTGAAGATGACCTTTCACTGGGAGCTGAAGGTCAGTACCAAGAAAAAACTCACAATACAAACAAGATTAGACTTTTCTGCTCATTGTTAACAGTTTCCCCTTGTGTTCTACTAATTCTGTATTTTAACTGATGCAACCAACTCAAGGAGCATTTTGACATTTTGGTAAATCCTCTAGTTCTCCATTTTACCCACAGTCAGATTAGAAAGTTGATTTTGAACCCAAATATCGATGATTTAAATCGTTAGTCAAGAAGTCACTGATTCTAACTTCATGTTGTCAGTCGAATCATTAACCGAAAGCCTAACTGTAATGGAAATAGAGAAGTGTGACAAACTATGTCTTAACCCTCATGTCTGCTCGCCCCCTCAATGCTTTCAGCGCAAGTGTTGAATGGTAGTGAAGTCCAGTGTGATCGTCAATTGTGTTGTCAACAGTCAATCAGTAGCGGAGCTCTGCAGGGTGTCTGCAGATTTTTATTACTTAATACCATCTAAACAACCCCTATATCTCCATAAATAAACAATGTGACAATACATTGTTCTGAGATATAGATAAACAAATTCACCTGCAAAAAATAAATACATAAAGGAACAGGTGCCAGTTTCACAAAGACAGACTTTGACTATGGCTTAGGAGACTTCAGATAGTCGTGTGAATTCATCTGTTGCATAAGACCTAGAGTTTTGAGGTGAATGCTGGGATAGAGGTGGGGCTTTTGAAAACAGCAGCAAGTGTCAGCTAAGGAGTGAGCAGAGGGTGCGTTGGATATACGCATGTTTATTGCACTGGAAGAGTATGCCATGTGAGAAACAGCTGCCAGGCTTCACTTCATGAAAATAAAGAAGATGTTTCATGACGTGAAGCTGCTTCATATACAGAAGCGCAGGAGACAAATTACATCAAGATAGATAGATGATCATATTAATAATTGATTAACAGATGGCTGACATATAGATTTTTCCACAGCCACAGTAGTGAAAAGTTGTTCAAACCAAAATCACTGGTGATATTAATCTTTGATTAATAATAATATGCTTTTAAAAGTTCATTATTTTTTCATAACTCTGACACATTTTGTGCAGAAGCTGACTGATTGTGATTTTAGGAGATCTGCGGGTTACCTATAACTCTGCTGGTGTTAGCACTGAAAATCTTGAGGAATTACTCTTTGAACAAAAGAAAATATCATACAATCTTAAAGTTAGGATCGACACGTCCCTTATTTCTACACGTTTTTACAAACTCTTCAACTTTTGATGAACTTTTAACCTGAAGATGTTTTGTTAAAACAACTCCTGATGTCTTACAAACACAACAGTGTCAGAAAAATCAACAGAACATTGTGTGATTCACTGCTCCATCTTCATTCCTCAGTCCTGTTTCTTTATGAAGGAAAAGTAAACAGTCACAGAGGTGTGGAAACCCAGTGAATGCGTGACTGACTGTCCTCATGGTGTGTATGTGTGTTTTCATCATTCCTCTGATCTGCGGTGAATACTGCACTAATGGCTCTGAAGCAAGAGGGTGTATTTGTTATTGAATGCACAATAGACTGTAATGGCTTCATGTTGAAGTGCTGAACACTGACATGTTGTGGGGCTCTGTGTGTGTGTGTGTGCGTGTGCGTGTGTGTGTGCGTGTGTGTGTGCGTGTGTGTGCGTGCGTGTGTGTGTGTGTGTGTGTGTGTGTGTGTGTGTGTGTGTGTGTGTGTGTGTGTGGTCTGAGGGTCAGCTGTTGGAATCAGGGACTGAATAGATGCTAATGAGTTGAGGCTGAGAGGTCAGAGGTTGTGTGGATCTGATCAGAAACACCCTGTTTCTACACTGGAGCTACAGTATACAGTAGTTACAGCTAATGTTGTCTAATTTGATAAAAAACTTACGCCATAGCAACTGCTCCTCTGTTGTCACTTAAATGTGGTGCTAAAACAATTGATAATTAAGAAATTGATGATTAATTAACAGTTAATTTTATCGTTCAGTAAAATCACCCCCCCCCCCCCCCCCCCCCCCAAACCTGAATGTTTTAGTTAGTTCATTTCTTGATAAACAGTACAAGCGCCGTTACAAAGCTTTGTCACGCTCCACACCAAGTCTCTACAAGTTAGTCTTCAGTACACATCAGTTACTAGAGCTGAAGAAGCTGGATGAGAGATGAATTCGTCATTAAATACTGGAGGAAAAAATGTACCCCTATTAGTAAAGTGCTGATTCACAGGTATACATCAAAGTTCAAACTTCATTCAATCTCCAGTTTTTAGTTTTCTATGTTACGCCACATCCTTCTTTGGAATAAAAGCACGCCGTCATCCAACTGACATATAGAGTGTCTAGCCAGGTGCTGTGAATCAGTCTGCAGAGACGCTGAAGTTCAAATCCGGTGTTAATCCACCTAAATCTGAATCCTTTCGAATCCTTCATTGTATCAGTTCACATTTGTGAGTAACTTGAAGCTAAAATAACTGCAGTTAGCCTACTGTGCTTCACCAGCTGCTGTGATTCAGACCAAAAAGCTGACCGGATTTATATCAATAAAAATTGTACTGGCAGGTTGTTAAATTGACATTGAGGTGATCAGCTGATCACCGTGTCCCTGTTGAACTACAGTGATGAGAGTGAAGACGCTACAGTGTAGATTTAGAGGTGTGGGGAATTACAGAGTTGGATCATGATTAACTGTGGGTTTGTCACTGTGACATACAAGTGGAAATATGATAAGATGTTCAAAATAAGAATACTGATAAGCAGCTTTAAGTAAGTGATCACGTAGCAAAATTAGTAGAGAAACATTTGGGTGGGAGTTAGGAAAAATAAGTGTACAAGAATGCATGTAATCTTATATTGTAGGTCAAGATCAAGAATAATGTCTAGGGATTTTTAGTGTGATTTAAAACTGTATCTGATTGTCTCTGTTCAAGTTGCTATACATTCCTGCTGTATCTAAATTTTGTGATAGGGTTTAATGATTAAAATGAGCTAACTGGCTGTGTGTTGATGTGGACAAGACACAGGATGAAAAGATAATGGTACAGTTTTAAGTATTGTATTGTATTTGTTGAAAACCTGAGCAGCCTCTTTAGTTGAGTAATTCTGTCTACTTCCTGTGTTTGCATAAACCTCACCTCAGGTAATTATGTTCTTACCTTTCGTGCCTTCATCGTGTTGAGAGTAATGTTGAGTCATCTTGAGATTTGACTGAAGTGGCTTTTATCCTCTTTGGAAATGTCATGTATGAACTGATCCTAATGGGTTGTAATGTTGTGAAGACAGGATGGGCGGGGATTTAAGTGTTAATGTGGGAATAAGATGGAAGTGAATTAGTAAATTAAAGGGTGAGGGTGGATGGGATGGAAGTGAATGAGTGAATTAGTGTAAGGCGGCATGTCATCGCCATGTTTGTCTTCTTTAATGCCGCTGTCTGTCAGAGAAAAAAACATTGTACATTCAAAGAAGGTTTAAGAAATCCAGCTGAAACGGAGTAGAAAAAGAGACACACACTCAGACAGACAATGTCAGGACGACAGGTCTCAACAAGTTCTCATTAACTGGAAAAGAAAATAACTGTCACACCTCCAGTTGGTGATGACTTTCACTTCTCTGACAGAATGAAGCTTAACCTGCCTCAGCTTTACCTACAAAGTCAGAGCAGATTTACCATTAAAACATAAGGTTGTATCTGTTAAAGCTAGATAGCTATAGAAAAGCAAAAATTTGCTCTGTGAATTGGTTGAAAATGCTGTTTCTTAGCTGATTTTTGCTTCTAGGTGGCTCGTTTAAAGTGAAGAATCTGGTAAAAAAAAAAAAAAGGGGGCTTGAATATGCACTTTTGTCATTTCATACATGATATCAGGCTGAAAAAACTGAGGCTAAAACAAACAGATCCCAGTGTTAGCATCCTCAACACTTCATGGTTCATGGCTTTTTTTCAGATGTTATGAGTGTGATGTGGAAAAATGTTTCATGTTTATTTGTTCTGACATAACCCTGTTTGAATGCTTATACTTGTATGTCTTCACTTTTGATTTTACAAAAGAAAAGGCTTTGAGGATGATGACTAAGGTTTTGTGGTTGTGGTAGTTGTGATCAGGGTTTTTTTTTTTTTTTGTAATGTGGGTATGTAATACATAACCCTACAAAAGAATGAAGTTAGCTAATGATACCCCTTGGCCATACAATTAATGCTGGGTTTGGTTACTAGTTTCAGTAGTAAACTTGTTAGCAGGACATTTCCCACTATTTTCTGACATTTTTTAATTAAATGGTAAATCAATTAATCAGAGAAATTATTGACAGATAGATAAATATTAAAATGATTCTTAGTCGCAGATTATTGTCAATTTTCTTCAGTCTGATCAACAGTAAGTTTTTTTTTTTTGGTATGTGAGTAATTTTGGTTTTCTTGTTTTTCTCTGCAGCCAACCATCTTCTGTCCAGTAACAATAAAACTGAATCTTGGTGAGTCCACTTTTATGTTTTCTCTCTGCACTTCCCTTTATAATACCGCAGCCATAAAATAAAGGGTCGAGGTGCCAAAATAGTTTCAAATTTCTGACAAATTTGCAGTTAATCACATGACCCAAATGTTAAAGAATAATCCAGCGGCCCTTAGATTAATTAAATGAAGTTCCACACGGTTGATAAATCAGTTTATCCTCTCTCTACCCTGTGTGTATGTGTTAATGTCCTGTGTATGTGCATGTTAATGTGTTATGTGTAGTTTTGGTCTTGCGGCGGATCAGAAGAGGTGTCAGTATAAAGAGAGAGGAAGAAGTATGAACTCCACAGGATCTGGGAAGAGCAGCACAGTGTCCAGGTCAGTTCACATCTCTGGTCTTCAGTCAGACTCATGGAGGTTTCTGCAGGAAGTGACCCAGTGATCTCAGGTAGAGAGGAGCGTAGACACCGAGGGCTGTTATTAAGCTTCAAACCAATTGAATGACAAAACAGAGAAGTCGTTTGTAGCCGACTAAAAAGCAACCAGAGGTGTTGTTATTTGGGCACGTGGATGTAGAGCAGTGGTTCTTCACCAAGGGGTCCGAAGATGATTAAAGAAAGTAAAATAAAGTAATAATTAATTTGCACAAAATTACAATATTTTTTTCTAATTTTCTTTAGAAAAATGTTTTCTTGTAATTTGACAGATAGTTGCCACCTCCTCGGGTCCTGAAAATTAATCAATCTGAGCAGGAAGATAACTTATGATCTGTAAGATTTTCATAAAATCAAACTATGTTTTTAAAATTATTTACTCAAAAAAAGTTTGTTGTCTGATTTTTTTTTTTTTTTTTTTTTTTTTTTTTTTTTTTTTTTTTTTTTGTATTTTTATGTGTGACATTTGTTTGGTCCTTAAAAGTCCAGTATGGGTTGGGCTATAGTCACAAATACACAATACTTAATTTTAAAATGTCACAAGCAAAAAACATTGGGACCCACTCACATAAGAGTATGTAGGATATAAAGATGTTAACACAGTTGGTTTGAGCAGTTGTTGTTAGTGTCTGGCTGAAATGTTCTCAGTGGCTAACTGAAGCTACTTTCTTACTGTACATTTCCTACAACAGTAAAGACTTGTCTCAGGGCTCCTTTGATTGGTTTGAATAATAACAACAGCTCACAGTGTCACTGCTCTATCAGAAATTTCTACATCATTGAAGTAGGTGCGGGTCAACAAACTAGCAGGATTTATTTATTATGTGTAATTTGTAATTTGTGTTTGGATTTAAAGTTGAACTAACTGTTTGTGGTGGATATTACTGTTTTGGGAGGATGATTCATCGGGAGTGGGTGGGCAGAGGGTGTGGCTATGGGTGCCAGGGTTTGGGCAGTGCTCCAGCAGTTGGAGGTGAATGTGTGTGCGTAATGGTTCATAATGGGCTGTGGGTGGTGCATCATGGGTAATCCATCCTCTGTTGTATGTTGTTGATACAAGGTTTGAGAGGTTTGTTTCTGTGTGTGTCAGGATGAAAAAGCCAACAGAGCAGTGACGTATAAAAACACAGACATCAGTCCCTCAGGGAGCCACTTCAGCTCCGTTGAAGGATGTGTTCACAGTTATTCAAGTCTGTCTTAAAACAATGTTCAGGTGCCCATATCAACATCGAAACAGTTCTTGCTGGCTGTAATTGCTCCTTCTGTTCACACTGACCATTATAATATCCCTTCCTAATGTGCTTTCACTGTAAGTGAGGGATGATACAATCCACAGTCCTACTTCTGTGCAAAAAGGTATTCATAAGTTTATCTGAAGCCAATCTGTGGCTTCACTGCAGCTCAACAGGGAAACACTGACTTATTTGGGAAGATATCCCCTTTACTTGTCTGACTCAGCCAACTGGAGCCTAATGTAAGCGTCAGAAAAACTTTTGAATCCAGTCCATGTTTTTAATTACCAGTTTGAACAAGAGGAAAGATTATGGCAAGAACAAACTGTTTCAATATTCATATAGATTCATATTATTTTAAGTTAGACATGAAAAATTGTGACTCTGTCCTTGAATATACATCTCATCCTTCACTGTCAGTGGACAGGGACAAACAGCTGAAATTATTCACTGCTGCAGTAGCCACTCGTTGCAGTTATGTTATACTGTACATGATCTTCACTGCACCACTTTTTTCCCAGTAAAACAAGTTGTCCTTTATCTTGACAGCACTGAATGCAAACCCAGGTTTCATCATGCAGTCCCTCCAGGAATCTCTGGTCTTGTTATCACAAGAATTTATGCAAATGAGTCCCTGCACTTTGTTTGACAAATTGCAATGTTTTTAAAACCACACAATTCTTCCACATAAAAATGGTCAAACTCAAATAATGCTTGCCAGTGTTACAGATCAGATCTCATTTTTATACATTTATTGGCACCACTCCATTAATTTACCCTCAGACTGTGTTTCGCAGCGGCATGACTTCTCCAATTGATGATCTAACGCCTAAAAGACTTTTATGGTTTTATGGAGCCCTTTGGTGACATAACATGACAGGTAGCATTGTTTTACCTTATTGAGTCAGTTCAGGAGAAAAACTACTTACAGAGGCTGGTAGTGGTAGCCAACTGCAGGCTAGTGGCTACCAGCCCATAAAAAGCCCATAAACAGGACATTCCTGAAATCCAGAGAAATACAATAAGTTTATTTTCCCTCTCACTGGAACTAGCAATTTTAATAATAATGCAATTTAAGACAAAATAACCAACAATGGTTGCATTTTTCTAAAGCCGCTGCAAAATGAGCTCCACTTTAGGTCATTGTTGGCCACAATAATCACAAAAACAACTTTTCAAGATCCTGGAGGGACTGATTGCCTGCTGCTGGTCAAGTTTCTACTGGTCTTTACCCTTTCTAGGTGGGGCTGCTGAGGAGCTTGGGAAGGGCAAAGCATTGCTGCAATCTCCAGGGAGGCGGAGGCATCACACTTACTCATTAGCTCACTAACTAAATAATGAACTATCTCACTAACAGACTAACCCACTAACAGAAAGCTGTGTGTGAGAAGTACTAACTGCCTGTCTGTGTTTTCGTAGTGTTTCAGAGGTGATGGAGCAGTCAGAGGAGCACCCAGAGGAGATCCTCCTTACCCTGTGGTTAGACTGACTAAACTAACCAGCAGACTAACTCACCAGCTAACTAAGTGGCCGGCTGACTGGCTTACTGACTGAGAGACTGTCTGTGTGTGTGTCCACAGTGTGTCAGAGCTGCTGGACCTGTACGAGGAGGACCCCGAGGAAATCCTCTTAAATCTTGGTTTTGGTCGAGAAGAACCCGACCTAGCCTCGAAGGTTCCTTCCAGGTTCTTCAACAACTCCTCCACAGCGCGAGGCATTGACATCAAGGTACCGACAACAGCAGTGTGAAAACAGTGGAAACAAACTTTAGATTAAAACAAATGTGGCGTGTTTTTTGAAGCTTTTTGAACTGCAGACGACCGCAACACAAATACCAGTAAACTCCCGGTGACTCTAGCACAGCAATCTTACACTGTAACACACTCCTACACAACTGCACTGTCCCATTTCACTATCTAAACTAAATATTAACTATAATTAGCACTAAACACAAAGTACAGCTGAGGCTAATGAGAATTTTATAAAGGTCATAAACTGAAGTACAGTATTGAAAAGTTGGACCTTATGATGGCGCTAGATGAAGAGTCACCCAACAGCAAATTTCATGACAAGGAAATGTTGTAGACATATCACAAAAAAACACAGATGTATAACTCATGGCGGTGGTAGAGTAAACCTCACAGGATCACCAAAGTCATTAGGATTCATCCTCTGGGACCCATGAATATCCGTACAAAACTTTGTGCTAATCCATCCTGTAGATGTGTAGATATTTCAGTGGATAAGTGAAAACTTTGACCTGCATGTGGTGCTACAAGATAAGTCCGAGAACCATGAAAGTCGTTAAGATTCATCCTCTGGGGACCATAAACGCCTCTACAAAACTCCATGACAATCCATTCAGTAGGTGTTTAAATATCTGGACCAAAGTTGTGGACCAGCACTAGCACGGCTAAAAACCAACAAACTCCCTTCGAGAATCTGTCAAGGTGTTAGTTTTGCCTTTGCTGTGGAGAAACACATTTTTGGTCATAAATGGTCATAAATTTCACCTGTGAGAACAGACCAGATTTACTTTTTTGGAGTCTGCTGCCTGACTTATCAGTGCAATTAATCACTGATACTGTTTTATAATGACATCACTTCCTGTGGCTGACCTGCAGGTCTATCTGGGAGCCCAGCTGCAGCGCATGGAACTGGAGAACCCCAACTACGCTCTGACAAGTATGTACCTCCACAAAGTCTGCATTACTCTGGCATCCGTTCTAGTGTTTATGACTCTACTGTCTGCATCCTCAACAGTGTGTTGTACTGCAGTCAGTTTCAGAAGGGTGACAATGTCCGAACACCTCTGTACTGCAGGTGGAGGGTTAACCATGTTAGTGATGAGAGGCTCGGAGGTTCACGTCCTGCAACTGTAGATAGAGGAAGTGAAGTTCAAAGACTGTGTGTGTGTGTTGCCTGTTCCCAGTATTATTGTGGTGCTTTGTGGGGTCCTTCAGCCATATTAGCTGTTCTGCCAATTGCCTGGACAACACTGCCGGCAAGGACAAAGATCTGTTTGTCCCAGACTCACACACACTTACAGCACACACACACACCACGCGCGCACACACACACACACACACACACACACACACGGACAGAGAGAGCTGCTCTGCTAACATCCTGGCCTCTTTGTTTTTTAACCTTCGTTTGCATGAAGGTATGGGCTCTGTAATTAAACACACACACACACACACAGACACATACACACACACACACACGCACTCACACACACACACACATACACACACACACACACACACACACACGGCTGATTCTCTTCTTCTTGACAGTTTAACTGCTTTGGTGCTATAAAAAAGGACTTAACCAAGGATCCTCTGTGTGTGAGAAGATGAATCACTCCGTAGCTGAAAGTACATCAGGTCTGCAAAAGTTTGATTTTACACCTCATTGGCTGTTTAACCAGTCTGATCATCATTCGTTTGAAACAAACAAGGCAGTGAATGAGTGTCGGTCAGCCAAGCGGTCTTAACACTTTTACTTAAACACAGCATTAATTGGTTTTGACTGGACTTTGTATCTCTGCTCTCTTGGTTTTTTCAGTCCATTTGTGGCCCCTCTGTTTTGCTGTTTGTTCCATTTCTGCTTTTACCTTTTAACTTCCAGTTGCTAATGCTGTCTTTAGTAAATACACGTGAAAAATCTTGACCCTGATCAGTTCACACAGCCTACTATACATTTCTCACATGTCAACATTTCTGAGGAGGAAATAAGGCCTGACAACACCACATGCACCGCAGATAGATTTAAAAGACAACCTTTTCCAGCTTAACTTACTTTACAGCAGCAGCTTGATGTTTCTACGGTGAAACATTTCTAGATGGTTCACTTATCACTTTAGTTACATCATTTGCATTTGTCACAAATGAACAAATTCACAAAAACATTTCCACAAAATTTTCACTCTGTTGATATTGAAAATATGAATTACAGTATTCAGCTTGTTAAACAGTAATAAGCCCATGTCATGGTGCAATATAACAGTGTAACTAATCAAATGAGTTTCCACTGTGACTCTGTGTCAACACCTTTTGAACGGCAACAATCAGACGTCTGTTATGATGTCATGTCGTTAGTTACACATAATAAAACACACTCTGACCCGTCACTGTGACTGTTGTAACGGTGACATTATTCCAGCTCTGTGCAGGAAGAATGATCTAATTAGCTCTATGTAAATGTATGACCAGTTATTTAACCCACAGTGAGACACATTGAGGAAGAAGAGACATCTCTCACAAGTGTGCAGTCGACGTTTATCAGACTGTTGTGAATGAATGTGTCTCAGTCTCCTCCAGCTGTGGCTGCCCTTCACGCTGTGATGTTTTATTGTGTAACTAGTTATATATTTGCTAAAATGCCACTGCAGCATTATCACACGCAGCAGATGTTCACTTACACAAAGCAACACATTCCCACCCCTGGTGCAGACAGGAAGTTCATACACAAAACAACGGAGTCGTAGAACTTCCTTGTTACTGAAACGCATAAGGTCAATAGATTAATTCTTTGATTATTTTGTTCAAATACTTGAAAGGCCACAGAAAAACATAATGAATTGATCAGGTGGTCACGGGTAAACAAACTGATTTCTGATCAGTCTTGCCATTTGTTCGGGATTCAGGTTTTTTATTTTCCTGTTGGTCAAAGTCCACCAGAGGTACTAACCTGTACCATAGATGTCTAAAACAAACAACCTGATGCTGTGCGTTATGTACACTGAGAACAGGCGTGACTGCTCATACATACATATTGTTTCCAACTGCTTCTTATCTCAGGAGCACAAGCTAATTTTTTTGTTATCTGCAGATAACAACTAAATGAGTCACGAGCTGTTTGGTGGCATGCCCACTGAGGCTCAATGAACTGAGTCAGGAGAAGAGACGAGAGCCAGTGTTTAGGGGAACCACAGTCTGATGGGCAGAAAAACAACTCATGATGACAAAAATATTAATGAACAAGTACACATCAAAGGGCCTGCTGAGAGAAAAAGAAAGCAGTAAAGAGGAGTTAGTTCACTGTCGGAATGCTTTGACTCACTAACTTCGATCATGCAAACGCACTATGTGCAGAAAATATCCATCTTTGGTGCCCCTCCGTGGTATCATCAGGAAAGATGGTGGCAGGCAGCGGTGCAGGATCCTACAGAGGCAGGACAAACGGCCCAAAAGCAGGACATACATCTGGGTCGGTCGTAAGAAACTCTGGTGTGTTTGTCCGTTTGGTTCGGTTTGTTTTGGGCTGTGAAAGTTCTGAGTCGAACTCTGGTGCAAACTAAGCAACCCGGCCTAGACCGCCTGGACAGGAGAGTCTTGGCCTGCCTCCAAGTGGACTCTAGCGTGGTTCGTTTGTGGTGTGGAAGTAACATGGACTGTGCTAGATACAGATACAGTGTTTCACTCAAAAACACTCCTGTGAGAACTGTGATCTTCTGATCTATATATATATGATCTATAGCAATATAGCAATTTAGAAATAATGCTAATGGTCTCCTTCCCAAGTGGTTTCAGTCCAGTTGTTTAGTTTCACTGGCAGCTTTCACACGAGCCAAAATGAAGGGAAGTAAACAGAAAAATGTTTGAAACAAACCAGACAGATTAGGTGTAAGAACATCTTCAGACTGGGCCAATTTCTTACCAGGATTTTTAAATTTTTCTAACAATTAAAACTTTTGCCAGAGGAATTGTTTAAAAGATCTTTAACAGTGGATTGTCAGGTCAGTTAAAGACATCATAGATTGCTTTATGATTAGATGTTACTTTACAACTTATGTTTAATCACGAAAAATAAATACAAAGTGCAGTACACATAAAAAAAAAAATTAAAAAAAAAACGAAATCAAATGAGTATATTATTGTGCAGCAGTTCTCCTCAGTACATACACTCAGTTTTTCAGGGTACTTGGTGGGTAGGTTGTTCCAAGTATCTTAGAGAACTTGTCTCAGTGTCTTCTGTCTCTTCATGTGATCCCAGACTGACTCCGTGATGTTGAGATCAGGGCTCTGTAGGAGCTCAGACCATCTGGTGCGAGTCTCTGAAGACAGTTCTTATGACTCTGGCTGTATGTTTGGGCTTGTTGTTATGCTTCAGAATGTATTTGGCACCAGTCAGATTTTTCCCTGATTGTGCTGCATGATGGATAAGGATCTAAACATGCACCGAACTGTACATTTTACTAAAGGTGACAGTGTGCTCAGAAACAAATCAGTTTGTAGTGTTCGTAGCTCTTCTGAACCACCACACTTTAAGGTGGGATGAAAAGCTGGCTTTCATAGAGAGGGGCGAGATGTGATCATCATTGAAGTGAGGATAATTGTGAGGATAATTGTACATATTTTTGGACAGTCTCCCCTCCAGGGTATTCACAGTGTTGAACCTCTTGGAGAACTGTGTGGAGAAAATTCAAGTCCTGGTTACTTCCTCACCTCTGCACACCTGGTCAAACTGAAGTGTGTGTGTGTGTGTGTGTGTGTGTGTGGGTGTGTGGGTGTGTGTGTGTGTGTGTGTGGGTGTGTGGGTGTGTGTGTGTGTGTGTGTGGGTGTGTGGGTGTGTGTGTGTGTGTGTGTGGGTGTGTGGGTGTGTGTGTGTGTGTGTGTGGGTGTGTGGGTGTGTGTGTGTGTGTGTGTGCGCGCATGGGGGAGAGGTTTAAGATGCTGTTTGACAGGCACTTATCTTGAAGCATACTGATACTGATGTTGGTTGAACCTGATGCTGTAAATGTCTGGTTTAAAACCAGCTGCATCGACGCCGATCAGAACTGGATCTGTGTGTGTGTTTTTTTTTTTTTTAAGCGAACTGCTCCTTTAACAGTCTCTGGTCTGTCTGTGGTTCCTGGAATCTTTCTTCTTTTCCAGAACATTCTCATACTGTCCCATCGTTTCCCTGGATCCCAGACACGTGTGTGTGTGTGTGTGTGTGTGTGTGTGTGTGTGTGTGTGTGTTGTTGTTTGTTATGTAAGCCCTGTTCTCACCATCTGAAAGAATCTCTTGGGATGAGGAGTAGAAAAAAGAGCGAGTACGTGTCGTTTTCTCTTATTCCTCACTTCCTGTTTTAGGATCCTAAGAATGAGCATTAGTGCAGAGTCAGCAGTCAGCAGGAAACACACTCACACAGTATTACTGTCGTCACACGAGGCTGCTGTAATAAGAGGTTCATGTTCTGTAGTCGTATGCAGATGTGACTGAAATAACTGTACGATTGTCTGTTTGACTGACTATTTGATACAATAATTTGTTCAATATGTGTTTTAACTTCAAGGTTTTTTATGTTTTTGTTTCTTGTAGCTTCTTTCAGAATCCTTTAGCTTGTTTTAAAGGTACAACAATTGATTTTTTTTTTTGGCAATTTGGTGACAGCAGAATAAACTGAGAGCATGACTCGGACATTTTATCAACTTAAAAAAGTTGTTACGGCTAACATTTTAGCAAGTAGTTGCCCGTTAATGCGTCTAGCAGACACAGAGCAACATTATTATCACATTGGAGTTGTGTTTGTGTCCACCTGATAAATCTAAGTCCAGTTTTCACTCAACTTTTAGCTCCAGTTTTTGTCTCTGCCAATTCCACCGTCTTCACCAGCTAGTCACTAACTTGGTCTGTCTGCTGTTTGTGGGTTTATCAAGAGCTCTCTGAAAACAGCTGTCTGTTGCAGCTGGAAATGAGGTTAATGAACGCACTAATACTGAACCATACAGTAAATGTGCCAACCAAAACAAGGAGCTAAATAGGGCTCAAAAGCCCCGTAGAGCTGCAGAGTTGTGGATTCAGTGAGTTATGCTGTTTTTTTTTTTGAGACTTTTTCAGCCTACGTTTGTTTGCATGTTTTCAAATTGGCAACAAAAGTTTGTAGAATTACCTATTTCAGTTCCTGTTTGCCACCGACCCATGGATGTGCACACAGGTGTAGCTTATGTGTATGTATGTATTTTTTTAAATATCTTTCTAAAGTCGGCTCAGATCAGGTTTTCAGTACAACTGGTCTTTACTGTGGAGATGTGTTGATTTTTGGCCGACCTGGTAGCCTCGTGGTTAAAATGCATAGTATGTAATCACAGTATCTGCAGTTCACTTCTGGATCTTTGTTCTGTTTCAGTCCTTCTATAATCTATATTTTCTCATGACAGCAGTGATGTAACTCAACAATAAAATTTAACAACCAACAGATCTGTTTTTAGGAGTTACGAGGTCCCGATGGGGTCAGAGGTGAGACAGTAAGAGAGGGTAGGCATGCGCTCTATTTCAGGTGATATTGTAACATCAGAGAGAGTTACGCAGAATTTACAGAGCCACAGAGAGAAGACAGAAATCTGTGTTTCATAACAGACTGACAAGTATTTAGACACAGAGCGATGGAGAGGAGGAGGGGAGGAAGGAAGGAAAGTATGCAAGTCATCATCCTGTTAAAGACGAGACTGACAGCTCGACTTACACAACCATAGAAGAAGAAGGAGGAAGGAGGGAGGAGGGGCTCTGACGTCTGTGTTCAGTCCCAACATGAAGCGTTTTTTTTCCCCAGTCTTTTACTGCAGAAACTTAAAGAATCCGAAACTCTTTTTTCAAACAAGTGTAGGACTCTGTCAGTGGGATGGAAGATATTTCATCTGTTTCCAATAATAGTTTGTTTTTTTTGTGAATAAAGTGCTATTTTCTTCTTTCTGGGGCAGTGATCTTCCTTAGTCTGTGTGTATCTGAACTCACTCTCTTACTCATTACTTCCTATATAATAAACACTCATATATAGATAGATATCTATAAAGTTCATTTACAGATATAAATCTATTGCACCATATAGTGAGTTTAGAGACAGCTCAAGCATTTCCATCTGTCCGTTTTTATGCACATTTTCAATTTGTGTATTAAAAAAAACCCTGTGTAGAAATGCTGGACATGACGCAATAATCCAAATTAGTACCTGAAACATGTTTTTTCATGTTTGTTTGAGGTTTCTTTCTCTTTTTTCCATCTTATTGTGTCCTCTTCGTCTGAAGTGGTGTAATAGCACTCAGATGGAGAATTAACACCATCAGCTGTTTATCTCGATGCACCCAACTCCTAATATTTACATAAGAGTGGTGGATGGAAACACATTAAATGTCCTATATTTTATACTTTTCTGGTGTTTTATTTGATGTTTAGATATTCATAAGAAGATATATTTGTGGTTTTAAGTAAAAAAAAATGTTTGAACATAGTTTTACATCTGCTCTCTGGAGCTCTAGTAACAACAGGTTGGTGAGCCAATCAGATCAGAGGCTCTGAGCCCCTATTCTGATTGGCTGACTGTTTTCTGAGTGATTGAATAAAATTATAACAGATTTCCGTTAAACATTCAGAGAAACCAAATCCTTCAAGGTTGAGTGGTGGGTCTGGGTGGGCGGGGCCTGGGGCATGGCTGAGAGCGGTGGCTGCTTTGTTGTGACATCACAAAGTTCTAGAAGTCCTGACGCCTCGTTTTACAGGCTGTGTGCGTTTTTCTCTGTGGAGTGCTTTGACACTTTCACAGTATTAATATAGAACCTAGACCTGTTTTACAATAAAAAAAGACATGGGAATCTAACTTTATACAGTATAAGACTTTTAATTACCATTTTCTTTTTCTATTTTTTGGAAATTAGGTTAAAATATGCACTTCCTTTGGGACTGCACTTAACTTATTTACTCCGGTTTGAAATGAAATAAGACTCCTTTGTCCCCATAAGGCTGAAGATGAGACTGAATGACCTTGTAAGATGGATGTGTTTTGGGGAGTGCTTTAAAAACCAGCTCAGAGACAACAGGAAACATCCAAGCAGCAGAGATATGTGAACTGGCTCAGAGAGGGAATAGCGTTGCCTGGCAGCTGGATGTTGACATGTTCAGACTCTTAACTAATCTGCCTTTTGATCTACTCACTCCCAGTTATTACACTCAAAGAAATGGTCTTAAAATTTTTCGAAATCCTTTGTTCTCAATCTTTAGGCTCCCTACTGTAAACATCTCATCTTACTCAAGGAGTTTGCTTCCATCAGGACAGAGGTTTTGCCTCATTAGTGGTGGCACAGTAGATGTATGAGGTTTTTTTTATTCCATCAGCTGTTGGCTTTGTAAACAAAGGATCTGTTCAGACCTGGTATTTACATGCGTCCTCAGTGATCTGATCACAAGTGGACAGCTCTAAGTACGTCAGTTCGTACCTGGCTTGTGTCTCCACATGTCTCGAGTGACCACTTGCGATTGGATCTCACTTGCTCGATATGCAAACAGACATGTATGCATTGTTGTTTTTAGCCAGTCCGACCGTGAAGGAGGGATCTGTTGTCAATGTGTTTGTGTGTGTGTGAGAGAGAGAGAGAGAGAGAGCGAGAGCGAGCAGGAAGGAGGTTCTTAGCAAATCAATGTGCTGCACACAGCTCTACACTGAAATATCTTTTTGAAATAGTAAAATATTTTCGGTTCATAATGAAACAGTGTTGGGACTAATCAGACTGTGGCAGAGGACGTCAGTACGGTAGGCGGTCCTTCGGTGTGGCCCAGGAGGCGTTTGTGTTCACTCTGCTAAAAGAATGTGGCCTCGTGTGGCCCAGACCACCTGTGAATATGGTCTGAGTGATCGGATCTCAAATGTGTCCTTAAACGTCTTGGGTGCGTTCACACCTGAACTTAAAGTTGTCTACTTTGTGAACAGGGCCCAAGTGTGATTGGCCTGTTACAGCTGTGGATGTGACGGTCTCCCTCCTGGTTTCTGGCTTCTTCCTCTTGCTGCTTTCACTAAATATTTTTGGACTTCTTACAAAGCTAGCCAACTACATACGACCTGTTTGACTGTATCTTTGAATGTAGCCTTCACCTCCATGTTCCCTTTAGGTCCAGAGCAACCAGTGATAAAAACACAGAAAGTACTGAAATAATAGCTGCTTTCCAACTATATTTTGATACTGAATACCTTCACAAAACATTGCCACAGAGTCATTTTTATTATTTGTTGCTGCTAGCTGACATACAGAAATAACAACTCTTATATTTACACACTAACACACAGTGTTAACAGCTCCCACCAACCAGAGAGCAAAGCAAAGCAACTTACAACCCCCCTCACAACAAGAAAAGGGGAAAAACATCTTTGTTTTTCCTAAATAAACAAGGTAATAGGTAATGTTGTTTTTACATGTAGTTTGCATATGGTCTCTGTGAAGCACTTTGTGACTGTATTTTTGTTTTTGTCCATCACAGGTCGTTTCCGTCAGATCGAGGTCCTGACCACAGTAGCTAATGAGTTCTTCCAGCTCTACAGTCAGGTCTCTGGTCAGCCTGTCCAACGCATCAGCTCCAGGGACCAAGGTAACCGTGGCAGCTACTGTAAATGCTGAAATTGTGATTTTATTATGGCCCCTATTCGGAACCGGTTTATATTAGAGACAGGCTTTTATTCCCAGTTTCACCAGATTTCTAGTTAATGCAGACTCAAAGGTTCTTGCATGCTTACCTTTTGTCTTGATAAATCAATTGTTTTCATTCATTTTTTTTTTTACATTAAATTACATTCCAGCCTGCTATTGGTAGGCTCTTAATGTGAAAAATCTTCAGGAAACTGTTGAGTTTCATTGATCGCAATGTAACATTTACTGGGAAAAAAAGAAGCAAGGAAAAACTTGAATTAAGAGGTGGGTTAGATGGGTATTTCTTGAAAAAAAAAATAGAAACTGTGTTGAGGATGACATTAATCTATACTGAAGGAATTAGTGCTATGTAAAATTTGCAGCTGGGGTTTGTTAGAACAATCTTTCTGTAACAATATGTCCGCCTCAAATTAAATTTTCTGATTTCATGAGGGGCAGGCCTACAGCTGGAGTCACACTGAGTGTTTACAGTTGTGAAACATATTGGACATGTTATCTACTGGAGACGTGGGTACAACAATTTTATTTTATCCCACTCTCAAAATCTCGTTCTTTAACTCATTATCTTCTTCATCTTGTCACGTTCAGGAGGAGAAGTAGGAGAAGGGGGAGGTGATGAATCGATTCCTCCTCTGAAGAGAACCAACTCTGCTCTGAACGTCGCCAAACTCCTCAAGAAAACCATCAGCAAACACAACCTGCTCGCAGCCGCCCCCGAGTCACCTGAAACACACACACCTAACCAGCACACACAGGTGAACGGACACACATCCTCTGATCACACGCACACCAACGGTCACGCACACGCCAGCTCAGAGCAGGACGGCTGCAGCACTGACCCAACCCACCAGGGGGAGACAGTCAGCCAGAAACATGTCCGCAAAAAAGACAGCTGTTCCCTGGCGACGGTTACCGAGGAAACCAACGGGGATGGAGAGACAGATCGGCTTACAGACAACAGGTACTGGTGGAGCTAATATTTAAAGCAGTTTGCACTGGTGGAAGAAGCACTCTAATCAATATCATCTACTTAAAGCTACAATATGCAATATTCACATACTGATTGACAGCTGCGAGCTCCCACCCTGACGTTGGCCTTCTCTGATTGGTTAGAAAGGAAACACTCACTCAAAAACTTCACAAGATAATATCTCTGCACTGCTGCCAGGCTGTTCAATGATTCTGGGTTACACAGTCATCTGACAGCACCTCTATATTTTTAGAGCATATTTGGAACGAAAACATATTATAACAAAGTTACATACTGTAGCTTTAAGTAAAATTACCAGTACAATAAAGTGACAATACTTAATTACAACTAAAAGTCCTACATTTAAAATCTTACTCGAGCAAAATAACATAAGTATTATCAGCAAAATGTACTTAGATATCAAAGTAAAAGCATTTGTTGCATAGAAAACCTGCCCCTGTGAGCCGTACATGTATATTATAGTATATATATTCGATGTTATTAGGTTGTTAATACTGAATTATCAATGTGTAAGCAGCATTTTACTGTTGTAGTAATACTATTGTATTGTAGCAGCTTCATATACAGTCAGGTAGTTTAGTCCAGTGGTTCCCAACCTAGGTGTCAGGCCCCTCCAAAGGGTCACAAGATAAATCTGAGGGGCCATGTGATGATTAATGGGAGAGGAAAGAAGTAAAAGCAGTTCGACTAAAAGTTCTAATACACAATTTTTAGGACTTTTGGACTTTTCTATTAATCTTGCTTTTTTGTGAAATGATGGATTATTTGACATGTTTAAATGAAACCAAATGAGCGTAGGTTTTTGTTGGAACTCGTAACAAGTCCTAGACATCTGAAACTGACAAGAGGCCCAAATTAGACACTATCTTTTTTTATTTTTTTTTTTGATACAGAGTCACAAGCCAAAAAAGGTTGGAAACCACTGGTTTAATATTTAACAATGTTATGCATTTTATGGCTTTATCGTATGTTTTTTATGTAAGATCTTAATTTGTTAAGTATCTAGTAACTTAAGTTGTCCGATGAATCTAATGGAGTAAAAAGTTAAATATTTACATCTGAATTGTAATGGATTAGAAATATAAAGTAGCATACAATAAAATACTTAAAGTACAAGCACCTGAAATTTGTACTCAAACACAGTACTTGAGTAAATGCACTTCAAGTCTGTATTGTTGCTGTTGACTAACATCTGGCCTCCCATCAGTCCTGAACAGAGCGGCACTGCACCAGCAGCCAATGGAGAGCATCAAACAGGGTCAGCTGACCTTCAGTCATCCAATCAGAGAACAGAGGAGGGAGCTCAGGTGGTCAAAGAGGAGAAGAACCTGACCTCAACCCCAGAGAAAGCTCCGCCCACCCTGGCCCCACCGCAGCTGGCCCAGCTCCGCACCGAAAATGCCGACTCCTTCGACATGGAGGAGGTACGATGTTCTCCTGCGCTCTCTCGGGTTCTAATATCCAACCTCCTCCCACACAGAGATGTAGTGTTCTTCAGGGTTCTGATGTTTGCTCCTCTCTAATCATGTAAATCACCTTCCATGCAAAGAACGTGTGATGTTCTCCTCTGTTCATAAAACTCACAATCCTACAATGACAAGTGTTGGTTAACGTATCTGTTGTAAAGCAGGCGTGGCTCTGTTCTTGGTGCATTCAGGTGTGATTTAAAGAGATATTTGATGATTGGACAGCTTTTCTGACTCGACTGTCAGTGGAAAACCAAGGTGAAAACCTGTTTGACGATTCTGCATGATGGAGTAAATACACCTGGAACTTCAGGGCAATTTTACCTGCTGACGACCCAGACGAAAGTCTGCTGCTGTAGGTGGACAAGCATGTTGACCCAGTGTATCTGCTTAAAGCCACCCTGTTGTTTACGGACTAGCCAGTTAGTGAAAGGTTTCAGGTTTTTCTTTGAGTGAAGGTGCTGCTCTTTTTTTCTTTATTTTAAAATCCAGTCTGTTGTTTGTCGTTTAGATCCAGAGTAACGATGATGAGGGTCTGCCATCCAGAACTTCCAGAGCCACCGGTGAGTTTACCCCGACCTCTGATGTCAACTTCTTACCTTAATGTCCTGTGGCGTTTTCCTGCGCACAAACAAAAGTTATGTTGACATTCATTTACCCCTCTGCACTTTTTCTTTACATCTGTGTTTACTTGCTAGTAGTCTTCTTCTCACCTGTCTTTGTTGGAATAGTGTGAAACCACTGGCGGGAATATGAGACAATATTGAGACAACATCGGCCCAAGGCTGGGTTACCAACCTGGCAAAGTTTGAACCTGCCCAAGGTCCCCAGGTCCTTAAAGGCCCCAAATCCCTCATGCTTACTTCATATCACTTGGCTCTACATAATTTAATTAATCACAAATTTATTAGAAATTTGCACCATTGAATTAAAATATTAACATGTCCTTCACCCTCCATCTTGTGGCTCTGGTCTGGTCGGTCTAATTAAATTATCAAATTTTCTATTTGTGTCAAATAATTTACAGACAGCAAGGTTGTATTATTCCATCATCAGAGGACTGTAAGGCTGCAACCAACAGTTGCTTTCATCATCAGTAGGCCTGACAGTATTTTCTATAACAATCTATTGATTACTTAGTATATAAAATGTGAGAAAATAGTAAAAAATGCCCATCATTATCCACTGAAGCACAAATGAACATTCAAATGTCTGAACATTGTCAAAAATCCAAAGATGTTGAGTTAACTTTTACAGCAAACTGGGGAAAAACTAGTAAATATTCACCTTTGAGAAGCTGGTACAGGTGAATTTTTGACAATTTTGCATAGAAATGATTTAAATGATCATCAAAATTGTTGCCAGTTGTTTACTGTCAATGACCTAATAAATTAATAAACTAATTATTTAATCTTTAAATTACTGGTTGGTGTCTGAGTGCCAGGGGAAATACTGAAACTGCCATGTATAGAGGGGGTCGAGACCTTGGCAGATTCTATTAAAAGTGTATTAGATAAACTCTTATGTAATGCAGCTCTGTGCCTGACTGATAGGAAACAAAAATCAGCAGGCTCATTAAACAATGTCTGTATTATCAAGGATGTTCAGACCACAAAAGACACGTTCACACATTTGTCAGCACACACAGTCTGCACAGATAGACTGTATAAGTCAGGCTTGATCCAGTAAGTCAGGCTCATATTTTAGGAATTTCAGTTACACAAAGAATACCGAAACATGATATTTTCTCCACCACTAGAGCTAAACTATGCGCATAAATCACCGAAATACCAAAGTAGTGTTATGTAATGTTTTTATTAACTTAAGTCTGCCATCAGGGTTAGACTAGCCTGCTTCAAACACACAGCTCCTTCTATAGCACTTTGTTCAGACTGTAACAATGTGTCTCACTGGCTTAGATAGTAATATCAGTAATTATTGAATGATAATACTACTAATAATAATGATAATAATAATGATGATAATAAAAAAAAAACAAAAAAAAAAACAATAAAACCAACAGGACAAATAAAAAGCCAATAAAAAGAACCAAAAGATAGGATAACCCCAAATTAAAACTCTATTAAAAAGATTTTTTCCTTTTTAAAAATACCAAGTGGCCCAGGAACGATACACTGGCCAAATTCCCTTCAAATTGCATATTTCCATTAACTTGTTTGCGTTCATTCCACATTGCGTCAAGCTCTGTGTGAATACACATTTATTTAGACAGACCTGATTCCACAGGTCTGATACTGCAGGATTGTATCTCTCTAAATCTAGATTTTTCTTTAATGTAATTGTGAAAAAAGTATAAACGTTAAATTGTAATAGTCATTCAACCACACCTGTACTGTATCTTTTATGTAGAACCTCTAACTGTATGATGGTAATTGGCTTGAATAAATTTAAGGGCTTAAATTTAATCCTTAACGAGCCAAATCAGTGTCACCTTTTCATGATTTTCCAAGAAGCCACGAGGACAAGTTAGATTTTCAATAAGGCGTCATGATGATTCTGATAAAGATGAAAGTCTTGCAAGACTTGAAATGCATGTTTCCAAAACGACTGAAATTCCTGAAAGAGCTAAACACTAAAGGCGATAGAAATTCTGAGATTTTTAGATTTTTATAACAATCCTATAGGATTCTGTTGGAAATCAGTATCAGTATCAGTTTGTTACATGGCACAGTAAAAGATATAGGGATCCAGAGCTGTGCCCTTTTTGTATTAGTCAAAAATCCTGGCAGTAGCATTGTGGGTAACAGTAACAGTAACAGTAATTTAATTTAGACCTTTCAGCATTGCTCTGAGTTGAAGAATACAATGAAATTGTTTTTTTACGATTCTTTAAATTGACAAATCAAATTTTGGCCTGAGTCTAAATCACTCATATCTGTTTAACCAGATTTAAAACACAAAATCTGACTGGAGCTTCTGTCTCTCCACTTTATATCCTCCAAGTAGAGTCTCTGCTGAGTATCTATTGAGTATATTTCTGTATATAAGAGTGTATATATGAGGGTTTATACTGTATAAACACAGTCTCTTTCAGTATGCAGCAGACATTTTTCATTTGTCTCAATTTACTCAGATCTCAGGCAGGACAGACTCTTTATGTTCAGTATAAATGAGTCTACTCTGCCACCTGCTGGACAGATTTGGTACTGCAGAATAATCATGATGTTTTTTATTCTCTGTGTCTCTCTCTCAGATCTGTTGAGGACAGTCAGTCAGCAGTCAGACAGCAGTGGTTTTGCTGAGGAGCCCTCAGCCGACTCCAACAGCTACCTCAAGGTCTGTTTGAGTGTTTTATTCAAAATCTTCATCTGAGCTTAGGTCACCACCTTTGACCCTTTTAAATTATTTGAACTGACTCATTTAATTCCAGTCAGAGTCTCATCACACCAGGAGGAGAAACACGCCTGCAGATTAGTCACAGGTGAACTGCAGGAAAATTATTTAATGGTGTGTAATAAGAGCTTGTATCCCAGTCTGGATCATTTATCTTTCAGGAAAAAAACATTCAGAACCACTTTAGCTGCTGCAGAGTCTCTAACGTCTGTAGAAAGGGTCCAGCAAATAAAATCCTTCAGACTTAGAAATAAGGACTCAAACACACACATTGATATAAGTAAGTTATTCACAAATTTGCCTCAGTGGGCTTTACAATCTGTACAGCATATGATACTGTCTCTACGTAGACCCTCAGTAGATGTCAGGCTTTTCTTTTAAGAGGGAAAATGATTTGATTTTCCATATGAAAACACAAGAAATTACATTATTTTACAATTTTTGGCATTTATTAATGGCAGAATTATTCCACTCAACTCATTATTGAATATGAATCTCATGGTGAATTTAATGCTGCTGCTACACTTAATCTTATTATACTAAACCACTAATTGGCTCCAAATTTCTGCTTTGAATTTACTTCACAGCGCAGCAAAACCTTGCTTGTGACCTCTTACAAAACTCAGTGTGCAGTTTGGATCCATTGTCACATTTTAGATGTGTAGGAGTTGTTGGCAGTTCAGTGATTGTTTTCCCTTCAAAACTTCTCAGATGCTTTTGTTTAAATAACTGTTTGATATTCAAAGAGGTAAAATTATCCAATATTTCCCAAAAAAATCAAAGATTATATAAGAGCCCCCCTAAAAAAATCAGTTAATATAAATTTGTGCAGCAGAATGAGACTTTTACTTTTGATACTTAAAAGTAAATATTAATAGTAATGTACTTTGACTTAAGCAGGTGACTTCTTCCATGTCTAGTGATTAATTGATACTTAATTTTAATTAGGTGCAGGAAAGTAGTGACAGCTGTGACAGTGAGACCACTGTGACATCACACCCGTCACAAGATGTGGCCACGCCCCTCGCACTGGACCAACCAGCGTTCATTTTGCCAGATGCCAGAGAGGAAGAGGCGGGGCCTGGTGGCGCTGGTGAGGCTGATGGGAGGAGCAGATCCAGGGAAGAAGACGAGCATGATGGGAGTTCAGAGGAGGTTACACAGTACACAGCTCACCAGCTCCCCAGGAACAGACCAATGGGAGAGCAGCAGAATGAGACCCGGGACCAGGAGCCAGCTGAGAATGGGGGCCAGACTGATCCTGAACCAGAACCACAACCAGAACCGGAGATTCTACATAGTATGTCTGCTGTAGAACAAGAACCACAAGACACTCAGAACCAGACAGAGACCGCTGCGGACACAAAGCCCCCTACAATGGGAGTGAAAGATGGGGACGAGACCCAAGAAGAGCACGCATCCTTGGACGGTTCTGATTCATCCTGTCCTTCTGCTCCATCCTCTCCGGTCCTCAGTGCTCTGAACCGAGCCAAACAGTACCAGCTGAGCAGGGGTGGGCTGAGGGTCGAGACCCCAGGGAGAGGACGAGGAAGACGTGGCATCCCCCTACAGAGGTCCTCCTCCCTGCCCTCCTCGCTCCTCTCGCCCTCCAGGGTCGTGTCCTCTGTCAGGATCCAGTTTGGACGAGGACAGCCGTCGTCCACCCAGCCCAGGTTCTCCTTCAAATACAACCAGGAGGCCGGAGAGGACAAGGAAGATGAGGAGGACAGTGAGAAAGCGGAGGAGGAAGGACAAACCAACTGTCTGTCCACTCTGATCATAAACCCCTCCTCCTCGTCTCACTCTAACAACCAACCACTAAGGCTTCCCACAGATTCCCCCATCCCACCTAAAGCCATCCCACGCTACCTGATGAGGTCATCCTACTCCCTGCAGAGCCCCAGCCCTCCTCCTGATTTGTCACCAGGAGGCCATGCCCCCTCCTGGAGCACCCAGAGCGTCCCTGATCTTTCCTCCAATCAGCAGCAGCCTGGCCACTTCCAACAAAACCTGAGTGCCAACCAAAACCAGCAAAGTTGGAATCGAGCACCGATGTCATTCTCTTATGCTAACCCAAATCCTAATCCGACAGATCAGTACTTAAGTCCCAGTCCCAACCTTAGTCCCAGCCTTAACCCCAGCCCATACCACTTCACTCTGAACCCTCACCCGCAGTACCCCTCCCCTCTCCATCCGTACGCCAGTCTTCCCAACCTCCACCACAACCACTCCTTGAACCACCATTCCAGTCTGACTAGTCTCCACCAGCCTACAACTCCCCCAGTCCCCCAGCACGGCAGCCTCTCCAACTTGCATCAGCCCTCATCTTCCACAGCTCATCACCACCTCAGTATGGGTAACCTGCATCCCGGATCTCCCATAATGCACCACCAGGGCTACAACCATTCGTACAGTCATCATTCGCCTTACCATGCCGCTCCTCATGGCTCACAGTTTGCCTCTCCCTACCTGGGTTACCATGGCTACAACACGAATCCAAACCTAGGGTTCCCCCACCCTGTCAACCAGTGTCCGCTGTCGGCCCCAGAGCACGGCCTCCATCCGGGTCTCGCGCCGACTGTTCCAGGCTTCCTCCCGGGCCTGACGTCAGCCCTCAGCCAAGGTCACAGCCTCCACCCGAGTCTAGGACCCGGCCAGGGCCCGTCCAGCACCGAGATGCAGCTGAGGAGAGTTCTGCATGACATCAGAGGGACGGTTCAGAGTCTGAGCCAGGTTAGTCCTCTGCAGTCGCACTCTCTCAAGCTCCTGTTACTTCAGCTCTAGTCGCTGTAGCTGTAGTCTGTGGTTCTGGTCCTGCTTGTAAACACACGTTAAAGTTATTTTGTTATTCATGTAAAGTGAGTGTTCGTCTTCCTATCCTCCATCCAGAACCGAGCCGACACTCCGGACATGTTCAGTGAGCACAGAGCAGCTCAACCCAGCCACCAGGTACTGTCATCCCTCGACACCCCTGTAATTTACATCCATCTTCCTTTTCCTTCACACAGTAAACACAGTAGTTAAATTTGTGTTTTTAAATCCAGTGGTGAAAGTCCCTGCAGTCTATTTAAATCACACTATATATAGCTTTTAGTGGATTTCCATGACATGAACACATTCTGTATTCAGTCATGTAATAAATTCACATATTAGCTTTGCATAATATAAAATTTACATACTGTCCATCCAGGAGGCAACAGAGTGGACTGTTGTTGTCGTTAGTAACGATAAAGTGTGTTTCACTTTATCTCTCTCTCTCTCTCTCTCTCTCTCTCTGTTTTCAGTCTCTGGCAGAGTTTCAGCAGAAGAGGCGGAGTCTGAACGTGTTCCGCAGTCAGATGATGGATCTGGAGCTGTCAATCATCCGACAGCAAGCTCTGGTCTATAAACACCTGAGCCCTGCTGACAGGTGACTCATGACAGCAAGAGGATACATGTTTCACAGTAATCTGTCCTGTGTTGACATGTGATACTAGCAAACCTTGTGTATGTGTGTGTGTATGTGTGTGTGTTCATGCGTGTAGGATGGAGGTGGAGCAGCTTCAGTCTCTGAGATCAGCAGTCAGAGAGGAACTGCAGGAGCTGGAACAGCAGCTGGAAGATAGACTGATGGAGCTGACACACACACAGCACAGGGTATATACACACATTACGCACACAAACACACACACACTACAGAGTATATGCAGGAAACACAGATATACACAAGCAACACAAACCAGAGAGTATGTGCCGACCACCCACACAGCAGAATATGTGAACACACAAAACACAAAATGCACAAACAACGGAATTAAGACAAAACAGGCTGTACACAGAAAGCACACACACCACAGGGTGTACTACACAAAATACTCAATACAGGGTATAAAAAGAACACACAATACACACACAACTTAAGGCATATACACAGAGGGCACACATCACAGGGTATAAACGCACACACACACACACACACACACACAATAAGGTACACAAACACAAAAACACACAACACGCACATACATACCATGGGACACATACACTCAGCTAACACAAATACAATACACATACTAATACACACAACACAGGGTATACACACATAAGTCACACGTATGTTGTACTCTACCTGTAACACATTTAACACAGTGAACATACACGGACAAGTTAAAAACACACACACACACACACACACACACAACAAAAGGTATACACTGTACAGGCAATATATCCATATATCCATATATATATATATATATGGATTGACTAGTCAGCTACCATAACTGCAATAAGTTATCAACCTCTTTGAGAACATGTGACATGACATTAGAGTAATGTTGTCAGTCCTGCTTTCCTCCCCAGGGTCTCCATAGAGACAGCAGTGTTGACAGCCTGTCTACCACCTCTGCACTGAGAGCCATGGAGCCGGTCAGCACAAACACACACACACACACATACACGTTTATTCTCAAGCTAATAATGCTAAAGTTTGTCTAAATGTAATGTTTCCCTGTCTTTCCAGGTGTCAGACCTCCTCAGAGAGCAGCTCTTCCTCCAATCAGAGCTCAGCTATGATGGTAACGCTCCCTCCACCAACCCCTCCTCCCGATCATCCAGTCCAGTCCGAGGAAGAGCGGAAGGAGAAGGCGAGCAGAGACAAGGCGTGTACAAGGCATCAATCAACATAACCCCCATCCCTCCTCCTCGACCCAACACACAGACAGAGGAAGAGAAGGAGAAGAAGGAGGAGGAGGAGGAGGAAGAGGATGGAGAGAGGAACAGAGGAGGAGAGGGAGGTGGAGAGGTACCGGAGGTGGAGGGAGCAGCAGGAGGAGTCAGAGTGGAGAACCTACAGCAGCTCATCAGAGAGGTAACAGCCTGTTAGCACTTTGACTTTCTAGTAACTTTACTACAAGTCAAACAATCGATGGAAAATATAGAAAAAAAGGATACATCAAGATCAATGATCTTCAAGCAGTTAAACAAGTGAAGTCATGGGTAAGCCATTATGTAAATGTTTAATGTTAACTGTGTGCACAGACGATAAACATTTCCAAACAGCCAATGAGAACTGGTTGTGTTTGGAAACATTTTCAGGGAAGACAGCAGCTGTTGAAACGGTTTCATCACCTCTGTCTGTGTTTCCCAGATTCGAGAGAGCTTGGCGCAGGAGGTCCGACGGGAGATCTACAGCGAGCTGTTGGCTGCCGTGTCGCCTCGGCAATCGCCCCTTCCCACCAGACAACACCGCCTGTAGTCATGCCAACAGCAGAGCACCACTTCTTTGACCTTCAGCCTTAGTAACTACAGCCTGAGCAGCACCACTGTCTGTCTGTAACACTGTATAGCTGAGTAACACTGTCTGTGTGGAACACTGTATGTCTGTAACACTGATGATGAAATGAACACCCCCCACCCCACCCCCCCACCTCACCTGTGGCATGCCCCCCCCTCATCAGTGAGAGGCAGAGGACAGAGCCTCAGACAGGAGAGGACGTTTCCACTATCTAGTTGGTTCAAGTGAGGTAGTGCGATGCATGCTGGGAACGCCAGTCTGGACCAGCCTGTCCACGCCTCCTCTTACAGCATCCATCAGAAATGTGTTTTCTTTTCCACATCCTGTTTCCTGTTTCTAAACTGTTGTGATCAAAAGTGTAAAACTACTACCACTGCCACTAATACTATGACTACAACTACTAGTACTGCTAACAGTACTGCCACTATTACAACCACTACTAATCCCAGTTTTGAGGCTGTCCTGATCAAGTTCAAATTCATGTCCCCTTATTGATATTTTCCCACATAATACAGCTGTGCTGCAAGTTCATTTAGTAATAATAATAATGATAACAACAACAACAACAACAACAACAATAATAATAATAATAATAATGATAAGCAACTTGTAACTCAAAACATATTTATTGCTGTCGCTAGGACACTGTTTGAATTATTCACAAATTGATCAGGGTTAAATGTAGTCAATAGCGACTGTTCAGAACTACAGAGATTACACACAGTTAGATCACTCTAATTACCAAAAAACGTAAATATTTCCTCTTGTCCCTCGTTCCAGTTTTGAGATTTCTGTCTATACCGCAATATGATAAAGGTAAATTTCATTAGATGTTTTTGCCACTCACAGCAATTCAAAAAATGGCTTTTAAAAGATTCAAAACAGAAACAGTGTCTCTGTTACTGTGAATAATCCACAGAACAGCTGCTCTTCACAGTTTTCATTGGGAGTATGTCTTCAGTAGAAGAAGTTCAAGTGAAAACAGCCAAATAACAGGGACAATGTTTCTGGGAATGTTGCGCGTTGAATTTTTTGGTTACGGTTTAGTTTAATTTGTGTTTCCTGTGGCTTCGTCACAATAAAAGCTACCTTGTGTAAAGCAGCAGCTTAATACAGCTCTGTTATGGAGAGCTATAAGAGAGATATAGGGGAGCGAAACGTAAACAGAGAGGCTGAGATCAATGAGATGAAATTACAAACAGTAACTCTGTATTAAATGCTGCATGGTTCTCTCTGAATCCCTTGAATGGCAGACAACACTACTATACAGAGAGGGAATAATAGAATGTAAATGGAAAAACAGGGTTTGATTTCACAAAAATCTAAAGATTTATATCTATAAATTAAATTTTTCAATGCTGTGAAAACCTCAAATGAAATTCAATTGTCTTCCATTGTGTTGAGGTGGGGGCAAACATCTCAGAGACACATTTTGAGGTATACATAAAACTTTGCGTTGGAGAAACACCACCTGAGGGAGATGGAGAAAATATCTTTCTTTTTATATAATTTGGTTGAATTGAGTCTAAAATGTGTTGACAGAGCAACACAGGGGATTCCTTTTAAAAATACTATAAACGCCTTCATCATCTTTTAATCTATGCACTCATGCCTTTTAGTAAGAGGTTACATTCCTTAATCTTTAATAAAAGTCGGCTGAGGGTCAAACTGGGAGCTTCTACACCTTAAAATTACTCATTCCATGCACATTTCAGCTTAACGTAAAAGGTTTTTAGAGGCTTTTAAGGGATTAAATTAAAAAATGATGATGCTTCAGCTGTCAACATTCCTTCTTCATGATCACCATCATCATCATCATCATTATGCTTCTCTTTACTTCACCTCCTTCACAGCTGATTCTGTTCATTTCAGTGTTTTCTGTGATGTGACATCGCAGGCTGGTCAGTTCATAAACAACTCAATTAAGATATGTGTAGGTCACAATAACTTGAAGTTTTCAACTTTTTAAAATGAGGTCATGTTCTAAAGCTACTGCATTATTATAATTTATTACTGTCACTGCAGCCCACAAATGTTCGCTAACAAATAGCTCCAATGCTGATAGCTGCTAAAAACCACAACGTCGCCTTTTTACATTTTCAGACAGCGTTGGAGTCGTTGGAGAGTGAATAGTTTGATGTCTTGATGGAACTAGGCTAGCACTTTCCCCCAACTTCAAGTCTTTGTGCTAAGCTAGGCTAAACACATCCTGAATGCATGGTTGTAATTTAGCAGGTGATGAGGTTAGTGTGTGATATCTTGAGGTACTGTGGAGGTCAGGCTTAGAGGTCAAAGGTTATTCTACAGCAGGAGCAGGTTTTGGTAAGTTGTCATAGCAGCGGTGATGATGATGATGATGATGATGTTGATGATGATGTAATGACCGGTCAGGGGGAGGGGCTTAGTGAGTGGGGCAGTGTAGCTCAAACCTTAGCTGTGTTAGCATGTTAGTTTCACGCTGTCTGATGACAAATCTTTGTGCAATAATATGAACATACAGTATATTCTGATTACTGAGATTATTGTTAATAGATTATCAGTAATTCACTGCTAACATTTCAGATGCAATCAGTCATCCCACAAACTGTCTACCTGCATGTCACATACAAATTAATCTGAAGCTTGTCTTCCTCTTCACACAGAATCTACAGAACTGATTGATCACTGACCAATTAATTACGACTCACTGAACATCTGTTTTCTTCTTCATTGAAGCCTGTGTGTATTGTCTGTGTGGTCACTCAAAGGTTTCCGGATACCATCAGTTATTGAAGACGGCAAATCTTAGTAGCTGAGGTGAAACGAGCACTCGGCACCCTCCACAGATGAGTGTGATTGGCTCAGACGCCTGTCAATCATGGCAAACACTCCCCAAATACCTCTTTTTTTTAAATCTTCTTAATGGAACAATGATTCTGAAAATTTCCACACAGGCTCACATTAGAATTGATATTATCTACTGAAAGCTGAACTTTGCGTAGGCTTACATTAATGTTCATTCTTGATTTTTGGGAGCAATTTAAAGAGAATATAAGCTCAAAGGTCCCACTTACTAATAATTTTGATCTTTCAGAGACAGTCTTCATTCAGCAAATGGAGCTGATAGGTGTCACCATGTGATCTTAATGTGAACTTTCAATCATGTGAATGCTCCAAATTGTTATTAACTGGACCACTGACCTTCGATTCTCTTCATCGTTTATTGACTTTGTGTTTGTGGAAAAGTTTTTTTGTCATGTTTCACTGATCACAAACTCTGCTCTGCTGGACAAACACTCACTGTGAGCGCCAAGGCTCGAAATGCTTTTTGTTTTTTTTTTACTGATCAAGGATCCTTCACACACTTCTAATTACACTTTACTGGTTGACTGTTGGTGTCTATTAATTTCTGTCGATGTCTATTAATGATGATGTGTATTTTGTACTGATGTCTTGTCAGCGGGATGCAGGGAGGGATCACTCTGTAGAGATAATAATAAAGATGTATTTATTTTCAGTACAGATGAGTGCTGCCTCACTTCTAATGTCATTGTCTGTGTGTCTGTGTGTGTGTGTGTGTGTGTGTGTGTGTGTGTTTGTGTGTAGAAGGAGGGCTGGTAAGCAGTTTAACACTAAATCTTCATAAGAACCCTCCAGTGGGTTTTGCATCAGTTTCCAATCTTAAACCTGCACACAAGGATAGAGAGAGTACTCGAAGCTCATACCTCTGCCAGGGCTGCAACACTGGGTAACGGTAACTTATCAGTCAGTCAATCAAACTTTATTTTAATATCACCTTTCATACTGGTTCATGCAATTCAGAGTGCTTTTCAAATGACTGAGAAGCCAATAATAAAATAAATGTGAACAGTGAAAAAAATTGAGACTAATGCGCACACACACACACACACAAAAAGAAATGTAATAAGTATAAACTGATAAAAACCAAAGCCATGTTGTACAAATACTCAGAGATACCGATTAACATTTTATAAAGAAAACTTTTAATAAGCATATTAACAGCATTGTTACAGAAAACCACCCTTTGACTGACATTTCAACTAATTTAATTTAGACTTTAGAATTTAGATTTCATGTTTCTTTTTTCCACCATCATAACTCCTTGTTTTCCTTTTCTAACTAAGGGATGAAAACACAGCATCCTTGGGGGAGGCAGTTATCATCACCACCAGGGGGCGATACATAAACATCCCCCAACGTTCAACCTGGCAACTTTTATTGTGAAATCCGGAAACTATACGTGCCCCGGAAGCATTGTTGGTTATTGTAGGAAGTTTTCCGCCAGAAAAGCGACGCTGGTTCAACGGAGGGACGAAAAGTCGGGAAGGAGAACGGTAAGACGACATTGAAACTTAAAATATAGAAGGAGCAGAAAGAGTTTATCGAAGAAAAAGTCGCTGGGTTTCTTTGCTCCAGCTGGCTAATAACCGGCAGTTTAACTACGTACAGAAAATGTAGCATTAGCAGCTTAGCTAACTCTAGCTGATTCAAACACACATGGCGATAAAACTGAAACGTTTGTTGGAAATGATTTAACAGTTACTTATTATACTGTTTATAATGTTTTAACATCTTGCCCAAAGTAATTTTTAAATGATTAATTTACACGTACGGACAATATCCGGTCACGTATCATAGTGTTCGCTGTTCCTGTATATTACCCACAGGTAAATCTAAACTTTCTTTAAAAGTTATAAGCATTTCTGTTATGTATGCTATATGTGTATTTTTCTGAGATTAAGTTTAAGTTAAGTAGACAGCATTGAAAAATAACATTTGTAAAACATAGGAGCATGTCTTTACATCAGCGCTGAAATGATTTTCTGAATAGATCGGTTATTTGATTTGATTTTCAAGCAAAATAATCCAAAATATGTTTTATTTCAATGTTGATGGTTTGAGCAAAGCGTGGATTTTTTTTAAAACCTTGCTAAACGGTCTTAAAGTTAATCTGGCGCATATTGTTGTTAGAACAACAATTCTGAGAACTCCTTCAAAATATAGCTAAGACCTGTCATGTTGAAGGTGAGAACAGGTAAATTATGCAGATCACCTTAAAGTAGTTATTGGAACATCAAATAAGCATTAATCCAGCACTGAAAATATTTTGCTGTTTTATGTAATTAACAGTTATGTCAGATAATGTCCCTATCACAGACATGGTAGGGCAGCCAGAAAGTATTGATAGACAGTGGTCTCTTCATGGGATTTATTGATAGTAAGAAAAATAAAGATTATTGGGTGGAAAAATTCTCTTTGTTAAGCAACAGAATCTGTATTTTTCTTTATGTATGAGATGATGTGTGATGAAGATAAAAAGAAAAAAATTTAACTATTTTGATCAATAATTAATTGTGTGAACAATTTTTTAATGAAATGTAAAAAAAAAAACAAAAAAAAAAACACTGTTTCCATCTCCACAAGTATCAATATTTTCTGTGTTTATCCTATGATAGCAAACTAAATAGATGCATTAATACATTTTGATAAGTTACTTTTGTGATGGACTTTTTTGGGATAGTTCATGGACCAATCAATTATCAGGAAAAGAATCAATGAAATTGATCATGAAAATAGTCCTTTGCTGCAGCCATGGGTATATGTGTGTGTTTTCCAGGTATGGACTCTCCAGGCAGAAGTCGAAGTCCCAGTCCTGCGCAGAGAAAACATAGTGGTAAGCAGAATTGGCTGTCACTACTTTGTTCTATTGTTCTGGTAACAGTAGCTGTCCTTGTAGCTGCAGTTTTAATATTCATCTCCATGTCTTTTCTTCAGGAACTTCAGAGGACGAGTCCAGTCCAGCAGCAGAAAGACCCCAAAAGGCTGGCTCGGTAGAGAGAAGCCCGAAAGAGGGAGCGTCCCCTCAGGCCAGTCCTGCAGGCCGCAGCCCCTCCAGGAGCCCCGCCTCTAGCAGCTCAGACAGCAGCAGCAGCAGTGATGATGAGGATGAACATAATGGGGCACTGAGGAAGATTAGGAGCAGCGTGGCCCAGATCAAAGTAAGCACGGACTGATATAAACATGTTTTATTACTCAAAGTGATGCATAATTTTGCAATTCTGGACAGCTGGTCTCACAATGTCATGTGGTCTGCAGTGTTAATTTTCATGGCTTTGTTAGACAGAGTGGTCTTGGTTAGAGTAAGCTCACTTGCTTCATGACAAAGACCAGTGAAGAGCATCTTTGCTAAATAAAGATGCAGCTTGATGATTGACAGAATCACAAATACAAGGGAACTTTGTGTCCATTACTGTCAACTTAGACATGAACTCACCAGATACCCACAAGCTTTTACTTAATGTAGAAACCAAAGCTGCTGCCTTGTCTCTTTTACAGCTGAAGTAAGACTTTAAAAAAAAAAATGGCAGCATTTTTTTCTCAGTGTTTCCCACAGAATTAGATTCTATTTGTGGTGGTAGCTGATGAGAGGTAGGGGAAGGGTGTAATACCATATTAAATGATTATATACAGTATTATTAAATAATACCATGTATTATTAAATAATACTGTATGTAAGGTGCTCCTTTGCAAAGTACTTTTTGATGAATAAATAACTGAGCAATATACATCGTTTTACATTGTGTTTATCAGAAATTAGAAAGCCTTTATTGTCATTGAACGCTGAGGGGCTGAACAAATCAATAACACTATGCACAGCTCTACAATGAAATAAAATTTTACCCATTTGAAATAGTAATAAGAAATAAATAGAAAATCAGTATGTGGTGGTCAGTTTTCTGTTGGTCTAGTGTTCTTTGTCGAGTTCATGTCCAAGTCCATCCTGCATTCAGATAGATCCAGATCATTTTAACATGTAAAGACAGAAGGGAATACGGCTCACACTCTGTTTGTTTGTTGTTCCAGAGGTCCAGGTCCAGGTCCAGGTCCAGAGAGCAAGACAGATCCAAGTCCAGAGAGAGAGATGCGTCCAGATCCAGGTCCAAATCCAGAGAAGAAGACAGATCCAGGTCCAGAGAGAGGGACAGATCCCGAGGAAGAGAAAGATCAAGGTCCAGAGGAAGAGACAGATCCCGGTCCAGGGGAAGAGACAGATCCCGGTCCAGAGGACGAGACAGGTCCAGGTCCCGGGGACGAGACAGATCCAGATCCAGAGAGAGAGAGCGTGACCGGGAGCGCTACGACAGAGGACGATATGCTAGGTAACACACAGACAAAAACGGACCCACATATCTTGGTATCAGTTAGCTTGTAGTATTTTTGTAAGTGACCTTTTATTACTTTAATGTAAGATGATCAATATGTTAAAGAAAGTTGTGACACGTGGATTAAATTCTTCTAAATACAGTATTACTCATTTTACAAGTTTTATATATTTTTAAAACTCTCATTCAACTCTCATAAATAAAAAGATTTTACTTTTTTTTTTTTTTTTTTTTTTTTTTAAAGTTTTTAAAAACTCTTTTAATGGTGAAATTGTGCTGCATTAGTAAACATAAATGTACTCCGACCACTAAAACCACCAGACATTTTTAAACCACATCAGACCAGTTCAGACCTTGGGGATGTTTTGTAAAGGTGGTCTGGAAAAGCAAATGCTTAGTGTGAAAAACCTGATTTGAGTGACTAACAGTCTCAATTAGGTGAGTGTTCATGATCTGAAACAATTCACGGTGAAGAAGACAGAGATGTGAAGAGAAAACTGTACTATGTAGTACTATCAATTGTGTTGTTACAGTTCTGTAAAATTGTAATTTTAACGTAATAACATGAATAATTGAATGTTTTTGTCTCACCCCCGTCTTCCCTTGATCTGCCCAGAGATCGCTATGACGATCGCCGTGACAACAGGAACGGGCGTTTTGACCGGCGGAGCAATCGGGATGCAGAGTTTGATCACAGGAGACGTGGCCGCTCCGCCTCCTCGCCGAGAGAAGGAGAGCCGGCGGTGGCCAACGAGCCGCCGGTCAAGAAGAAGAAGGAGGAGCTCGACCCGATCCTGACGAGAACCGGTGGAGCTTACATCCCCCCCGCCAAGCTACGCATGATGCAGCAGCAAATCACTGACAAGAGCAGGTAAGAGCGTGTTTACTTAGTTGGTTTATAGACATGAGGATTTAGGGATGGGGTTTGATTGGATTATAAATCTGAATCCAGTTCAGAATCTGCTCCTTAAATCCAAATTCTTTCTAATCCAATCTAATACATAGTTTTTTTAGTTTGTTGGTGGCAAATTAAGTAACAAAAGATAGAACTTGATGTTTAAGAATCTAGCTTTTTTCTAATCACGTCAGTAAAACAATTGTTTATTTTAATTGTGATTTATAGACCAATTACTAGAAAAGCACGACAATGACATTAATAGAAATTACGATAATTAACTATCAATTCAGAACTATGGACACTCTACTGTGCTGAAGGGTTGTAAGGCTTTCCCCACATGTTTTGTCATTACTCTCTTCATTAACCCTATCCTGTCTTTCCTTTTGCTGTGTTTGCTCCTCACTAGGGGGCTGTAGAAGCAAGAGTAAAAACACAATGAAAATTAAACTCATTCTGCTTTATCATTCAGTGAATATCAATTAAATAAATCACTGGTATTTTACATAAACAACGTGCTTAAGGTTTCCTGAGGGTAAACTTGTACCACTGCTACAAGTTGCAGAATCTCAGAAATTCCACAAGTTCTTACATAAACATGTTGAACCTGATGTTGCATGTAGTATCAGAAAGAGAGGCAAAAGAGACTAAACATAGAATGAATAAAAGATTTCATTAGGGATTCATTGGCTGCAGAACGTAACAAATTTGGGTATTTTACCAACTTGGAACCGGATCCAAAATGGAACTGGCAGTTGGGACCCATCCCCACAAGGATTGGAAACCATCCTCTCTTTTTATTTTAACTCCAGTCCTGTTTACGCTCTGTTACTGCTGATCATTTTTCTTGTGGAGACTTGAGACTTGAGACTTGATGCAGAGGGAAAATCCATCTTAATACAGATTTAGTCACCTCATTGTTTGCTTGAGTTGTGTTTTTATTATATGGTAAATTGGTTGAATGTGGTGCATTCAAAGACGCTCTGACAGGAAATAAAACCTAAATGACTAAAAAAAAATCAAATATGGACACTGAACAAAAATGTGAATGTGGTTATTTGTTACACTAAAAGATGTACTGTTTTTATATATAATAATATGTTCTTGCATTTTAACAAAACTACAAAACACTCCCTGCAGCCAACTGCATTAAACCTAACTTTTGAGGAGCAGATTTTATTGAACTCACTTAACTTGTATCAACTCTGTTCTGAGGTGTGTTACGGAAATCTTGACTCACACCCTTTAATCTGTGTGTGTTGTTGCTGATGCCCCGCCTCCCGTGCAGCCTGGCCTATCAGAGGATGAGCTGGGAGGCCCTGAAGAAGTCCATCAACGGTTTGATCAACAAAGTCAACGTGTCCAACATTGTCAACATCATCCAGGAGCTGCTGCAGGAGAACATCGTCAGGGGGAGGTGAACAATAACACACACCCATAAACAACTGCACATTAACACTTAATATGCAAATATAAACATTTTAGGTAGTGTTAGAAATTTATGTGACAGTTGAAGTGAAACTGATTTTGTTGTAGCTGTTTCAAATGAATCGGAAAATTCTTTCAACAAAGTGCCATCAGCCATTTTTGGACACTCATTAACTCATTTGTTGTCTTTCTCAAAGTCACGCTTCCTGACTAGCATGATTGATTATAGAGATTTTTTTTCTGTTGTACCTGGAGGTCATGTAACTGTCGTTTTGTCTGTCCTTCAGGGGTCTGCTGGCTCGCTCAGTGCTCCAGGCTCAGGCAGCGTCTCCGATTTTCACTCACGTTTATGCTGCCGTCGTTGCCATTATCAACTCCAAGTTCCCCCAGATTGGAGAACTGATCCTCAAGCGTCTCATCCTGGCCTTCAGGAGGAGCTACCGCCGCAACCTCAAGGTACCTGTCTGACTGACTATATGAACAATAACCTGACTATATACCAGCCTGTCTGACAATCTGGGGAACAAAATGTGCATCAGGTTCTGATCCAGCGTCTGGTTTCAAATAAACATGAATTGATGTGTGTCTCTATTTTCCAAGAGGTGCAAGAACCAATGCAAGAAGTGCTCCTATAGTTTAGTATTTTCCTGATGTTGAAATTAATTTTGCTCATCTGTGTGGTGTTTTGATGCCCATTAGTAAAAAAGGGGATTTAAACTTTGAGAATAGACGTCTCAGAACAACATCTGCTTCTGCCACAAAGTCTCCCCACAGGAACTTTGGTAATTCACTCAACAAGAGCAACTTGAATACTTGGACCAAATGCACAATAATAATTAAATAATGCATAAAATGTAAATAAGCTATTTTAATAAATTACACATGAACATGTAGATGTGTTTAAATCTGCATCAGAAATTCATTTTTAATGTGGTAAAATGAGGAACATTAGTGAATCGGTCTTATCTATAAATGAACATGAGTGTTACGTAAGTGTTGCTTACAGTATCTGTTGCCCACAGCTGCTTTTATACTGAATGAAAATCTTCCCCTTCAGTTCATTAAATCCCTGCGGCTGTGTGAAGGCAGCACGATAGATATGTTGATAAATTTGCAGCCTCTGTTTTGAGAAGTGCCGCATCACAGCACATTTTCGTTATGCACGGCCCGTCCACTGTGTTTACTGTAATGAAATCACACGCACATGACTCCAGACTGCTGCAGAATAACCGCACATACACCTCTACACACGTCAGACAGGTAGATTAGGATTTGGTATTCTGACCATTTATGCAGGAGATGCAGGTTTTATGACACTGACATTAAATTTACTCTTCTTGTTATCATTGTAAGTAGTAGCAGCATTAAGGTCTGCGATGTATTAAAGCCTATCTGTCTTTTGTTTTCCAGCAACAGTGCCTGACAGCCTCAAAGTTTGTGGCTCACCTCATCAACCAGAACGTGGTAGGTAGTGCCATCTGACTTTAGCATGGATGAAGGATTTGAGTGTTGGTGCTCAGCTCTAATCAGGTGTGTTTACTCCTCTCTCGCTCTGTCTGCTGCGATGTCTCGCTCCCTCAGGCCCATGAGGTTTTGTGTCTGGAGATGCTCACTCTGCTGCTGGAGCGACCGACTGACGACAGTGTGGAGGTCTCCATTGCCTTCCTGAAGGAGTGTGGCCTCAAACTGACCGAAGTCTCCCCTCGAGGAATCAACGGTACACTGCAAACTCATGATTATTGTCAACTTTTATTTATTTTTTCAGGGATACATTGAGTGTTAGCCTCATTTTCAATGATGCTGAGATTACGTAAGCAGAAAGAAAACAAACCAAGCAGAAGAAATACAAAAGTCTGTTCCTCATAAAAACAATAACATTCAAAGACGTTACGATTTAAAAGCATATTTCAAAATGGTCCCAGTCGTTATTATAACTCATCGTGGCTGATCATCTCAGTTAGAGCTGAAATGATTATCCTTTAATTATTTAAGGCAAAGTCACAAACAAAAACACCAAACATTCAGTGCTCCCAGCTCTTTAGATTGGAGGATTTGCTGCTTTTGCCTTTGTTATATCATTGTTTACTCCATGTCTTTGGGTTTTGAACTGTTTGCTTGAATGCTGGAGAATCAGACTTGTGATCAGAAGGTTCCTAGTTCAATCCCTGCAGTCTGGTTGGATAAAGTGAAGGAGCAGCAAAGTCCTTTCCTAATGACTGTGTTCAAAGGTGAATAGATAGATAGTGAAACTATTCTAGATAAAAAAGTAAAAGAAATGTAAATAATCCAGTTCAGATCCACTGTTAAGAGCCAAGTCAAATAACATCAAACGTCAGCTTCTTCAAACCTGATTCATCACAAAAACATCATTATTTTAGGGACTTTGTGTCCCCTGAAATAGTCTTCTAAGAAAATCCCCAAGAAAATCAAAAAAAAGTCACCAAAATATTTCTAGCCTGACAATTTGAGCTCAACCAGCTCAACCTTATCCTTTAAACTAAAGAATATTGCATTTATAGGAGAAATAAATACAAGATGGATCCCAAATATTAGCAGGTGATCAGAAACATGTCTGTCTCTTCTCTCAGCCATATTTGAGCGTCTCAGGAACGTCCTCCACGAGTCGGCCATCGATAAGAGGGTCCAGTACATGATTGAAGTGATGTTTGCCATCAGGAAGGACGGTTTCAAAGATCATCCGGTGATCCCAGAAGGCCTGGACCTGGTGGACGAGGATGACCAGTTCACCCACATGCTGCCGCTGGACGATGAGTACAACACTGAGGACATCCTCAGTAAGAGCTGGATAGGGAGGGGAGGAATCTACTGGGGTCTAAGTGTTTATGTGGTAGTACTAACGGTGTGTTTGTGTTCACTCAGATGTGTTTAAGATGGACCCAGACTTCCTGGAGAATGAGGAGAAATACAAAACCATTAAAAAAGGTGAGAACGTGCATAAACGTCCGACTCTGTCCAATCAGCCATCACGTCCTTCACAGTTTAACCAATCCGCTGTCACCTCCTCCTGACAGATATCCTGGACGAGGGCAGCAGCGATTCAGGGGAGGAGGGAGACGGCAGCGACGAAGATGAAGAGGATGAAGATGAGAATGAGGAGGGGGGAGAAGGTGAGACATGTTCTCTGGAACTAGAGAATTTTTTTTTTTCACTGTTTTAACTGAAATTAAACAATTATCTAAATAGTTGCCGATTACTTTCTGTTGATCGACTAATTGATTAATCAACTACTTAGCAGTAATTTAATACACTTCTGATATGGCTGTAGAAGACTGAACAGTAAACAGTGAGGCTGTATGAGTCACAGCAGAAGAAGCACAGGTGCATTTGATTACGTGGCGTCCTGGAACTGAGCCATCGTTAGTGAAATGTGTTGCACCTGTGCTTTTCCTGCCGCGTAACTCTGGATTACATGCTGTGTTGTTCCCTGCGAAGCCGCTGTTGGTGTGAAGGAAGTTTTGAATGCTGCGCAGGAATAGCAGAATCCACCCCTGACAATAAAAATGACTGTAAATAGAGAGGGAATTACTGAATGTAAAGACATGGTTTGATTTGATTAAAATCATAAAGGACTATAACCTCAAAGGACTGATCAGGTTTATGGTTAAATATTCTGATATTGTATTCTCACATTAGTTGTATTTCTAATGTTCTGATATGAACCTAATTTTAACATAATACACAACAAAACAGCATTTTCCGTGACCTTAAACATGACCTCTCCGTGTCTCTCGCAGATGAGAAGGTCACCATCTTTGATAAGACAGAAGTCAACCTGGTTGCTTTCAGAAGAACCATCTACCTCGCAATACAGTCCAGGTACACACACACACACACACACACACACACACGTAACACATGTTATTATTAATACACACTCACATAGTCGGTGACTCAGTTGTCTCTCAGGGTGTTGGCAGTTATTTACAGCTTCTGCTATATTTGATGGAGTTTGGACTAATATTTAAAGCTGTGTGTGCGCGTGTGTGTGTGTGCGCACGTGTGCGCGTGTGTGTGTGTGTGTGCCCTACTTACCGTGGTTCAATTGAATACGAGTTCATAGGTTTGGAGAACAGGCTGAAACACTGAAACAGATTGAGAAAATTACACAGACACACACACAGAGTCTCACAAGCTCACTGATATACAGTCACTGATTGATTGATTGATTGATTGATTGATCGATTGTTTCTGTAGTTTGGACTTTGAGGAGTGTGCTCATAAACTGATCAAGATGGACTTTCCTGACAGCCAGACGGTGAGTGCACGCACACACACACACACACACACACACATATAACTCTTGTCTGATGTGAAAGGCTTCAACGATGCAATCAGACACATTAATGAGGATAAATGAGAAAACTTGTCTTTCTCTGAGTTTCCCACCTCAGAGGTCTGAGTTCTCCATACTGAATAAATCTTAAAGCACGAGTGACTCTGATAATTAAACAACAAAGTTAAGACAATCGTTTAAAAAGGGATGCACAATATGTTGATGGCAGATATATTATTGCCTGGGAAGTAGAAAAATTATATCATTGTTACTGTTCTGATGATGCCTTGGTTGTGGACTTGGGATGGCACTTAATATCCAGTTCTCTCTGCAGACTGCTCCCCCACACTCAACTCGATGTCCCCTTTTCACCCACAACACTGGTACATTGAACACAGCCATATAGAGCCTGTTAAGATAATAGTAAATTTCTATGAATAAGCTCTAAACAAACACTGATTGTACGCACCAGTTGAGCCTAATTAGCAGTTTATCTTAAAATTTGTTGAATTCTTGTAAAGCCCCTCCTCTCTTAGCGGCACCCGTTCAGCAGTGAGTGTCCTCACATCATCAACATCTAAACAGTATAATCCAAGGGATTAACCATTGATTAATGATAATAATTAAAAAGATTATGTATATTTATTCTAATGGTTTTTGTAGCTAGTAAAATGCTCGTCAATGAGGAGATGAGGTATTAAACATTAAACAAAATATTGAAGATTATTTTCACAATCAGTTAATCTGTTGTTTATTTGGTTGATTATTTGCTGAGTCCGTAAAATGTCAAGAAATAGTGCAAAATGTCGATCACACTTTCCCAGAGTCCGAGGTGACGTCTCTTATTTTTAATTGTTTTGTCCGAGTAACAGTTCAAAACACAAAGATTAAATTTCTAATGATATAAAACAAAGAAAAGCAGAAAATTGTCAGAATGGAGAAGTTGAAATCAGGGAACATTTAGAAGTTCTTTCATGAAAAATATCTTTGATTTATCAGTTATCAACAGTTGGCTGTTGATCTGCATATTGATTAATAAGCTAATTGTTGCTATAAAAATATAAACTCAGGTTGTGTCTGGTCTGTGAGAAACATCATATGTCCGAGGACACATCAGCTCTGTTAGTGTTGTTGTTTGAGGACCAGTTTGTGCGTTTGATGGTTCGGCTCCTCGACACGTCTGCAGACGGAGGTGGACGAAAGCAGTGCCTTTTTACAGGCTGACGATCATTGATTTTGTCTGTTGAAATGAAAACTGTCGCTGTCGGGTTTTATCAGCAGTGTCGAAGAAGGTTGAAAACGGAGACAGGTTATGACTAGATGGGCCCCTTGGCACAGATGAGTAAAAGGCCCCTCACCCCTCCTACACAGGACCCCAGAGACTACAGACATCAGGGCCGTCATTTGTCGAGTCTTTCTAGTTCCAGTTTAACGTCTCTTTCTGGTTGTTTTTAGTCTCTGTCTGGTTGTTTTTAGTCTCTGTCTGGTTGTTTTGTGCCTTTGTTGTCTACCCTCTTCATGTTTTTCATGGCATTGAAATGCAGAAACCACAAAATGATTCACCATTTTTTCAAAGTGGAACAAGACAACCTTCATTTTCAGTCAACTGTCAACAGTGTTCTCACGTCTTCAACAATTTGAGCTCCAAACGCACGGTGTACTCCTCTTCCCAAGAGTTTCATGTGATGGCAGCATAAACATTTAACTGTGACATGTCATTGACTTCAGTTCAAACACATTCTGCAGACTGTGGGAAAAAATCATCAACACCTGTCCCCAGCTTCTTATTCTGTACCTCGAGTTAAACACTGCGAACAGACTTTGTCTGTTTGAGCTGTTGATGGACATGATGAGAAAAATCATGATCACGTGTTGGTCTCTGCATGTGTGTTGTGAGTGTACTACTGAAACAGTTAGCTGATCAATTGAAAATTGAGAGACTGCAACAGTTTTGATGATAAACTGTTGAATTAATTTGCATTATATTTTTTATTGTGAAGACTTGATGCTTTTCATTGTTTTAAATGACTGTAAATAGAAGATCTTTGGGTTTGAAGACATCGCAGTGGACTCTCTCGTCAGTTAGATTTGTCTTTATTTAATATTTGATTGTGCTTTAGTTCATTAAATGAACACTAACCAGAGATCGAGTGATGAACAAATGATTCTTCATGTTGGAGGCGCGGGGACTTTGTGTGTGTGAGAGAGGGAGAGAGAGGTCAAAGCCGATGACCTTGTCAGCCAGAGTTTCATCAGCATCAGGATGAATCACTCAGCACAACAGCTGGAACACACACGCACACACACACTTGCACTCACTCTTTGAAGATGTTTGTCCTCTGACATATTTTTCTCACAGTCTCTGTCTCAAACACTGAACAGCCGCAGTGACTGAGGTGGTTCCTGAAGAAAAAACATTTCCATCGAGTCACGAAGCTTAAAAACATGAAATCTGAAAGTGTCTCACGTTTTCTGGTCTGAACTAAAACAACTTCTCGACTGACGTTGGATTAGACAGACAACATGTCCAACATGGCAAACAACTTGTGCCACATAATAAGAAAAGAGGACAGTGTCTTTTCAGCCAGAACAGATTAATATATTATTGGAGAAGAGATGGAGGGGGATCAGGACAGAAGAGTTTTGGGTTTTTTTTGGGAATCTTAGATTCCCACGAGCAGGAAGGAGGAACTTGTTAATCTACAGTTGTTTCAAGAGCATCTGGAGTTATGACGCTTTTGAGAAACGCCTCTTGAGATGGAGGAGCATTCATAAGATACTTTAAATATAGCCTTGAGATGCTTTTGAAAAATGGGTCAGGTCATTGTTTGAACATGTGTGTGTGTGTGATCTCAGACAGACGCTGTCGTCACAGCTGCTCTCTACACATCACACACAATCAAAACAAACGGCTTGAGCTGTTGTTTTCCCTCAGGTTGAGTGGTGACGCCGAACCTCGCTTTGGCACCACTTTGGATGTAACCCACCACTGAGATTTTACACCTCACTGCTGCTCTCCAGTTCACATAGTTGGAACTTCATTCCCATTTAACGCTGAGCTTTTAGAGGATCCAATCAGATCACAGCTGACTGAGAAGCTTCAACGCGAAGAAATAGTCAGAGATATTTTAGGTAATTTAACTCAAAAAAGTCTTTAAAGTGTTTTACTAATTGCTAGTTTCACAAAGTTTCATCCTCCGACATGAAGATTGATCCCACCAGGCTTCATCATACTGACTTATTATTGCAGCTGCTGGAAACAAACACAAACTCAGTTCAGATTACACATTATACAGATTAAACACCTTGATGAACACAGTGTGAATTTTGATTTGGTATTACAAGATATTTTTTGTTTGTGTGAACAGAAGGAGCTGTGTAACATGATCCTGGACTGCTGCGCTCAACAGAGGACCTACGAAAAGTTCTTTGGTCTGCTGGCCGGGGTGAGACACACACAGATGCACACACACACACACCCGCACATCTTGCTTGTAATAACATTATAATGTAAAATAATAATAAATGTACACATTCACCTTGAGAATCCATGACCTGAGACATCTGAAGCACTGGACAGATTGAAAGCACTTGTTTACGTGTGTGTGTTTGTCTGTGTGTGTCTGTGTGTGTCTCTGTGTGTGTGTGTCTCTGTGTGTGTCTGTGTGTGTCTGTCTCTGTGTTTTCAGAGATTCTGTCTGCTGAAGAAGGAGTACATGGAGAGTTTTGAGGGGATTTTTGCGGAGCAGTACGACACAATTCACCGACTGGAGACCAACAAACTGAGGAACGTGGCCCGACTGTTCGCTCACCTGCTGTACACGGACTCTGTCCCTTGGAGTGTAAGGACACACAAACGTCCATTAAATCCGCTCCAGTCTGACCAAACTTAGTTTAATTTTGCTCTCTCTAATTGAATTTCCTCATATTACCCACCCCTCTCTCGACCAGGTGTTGGAGTGCATCAGGATGAGTGAGGAGACTACAACGTCGTCCAGCAGGATCTTTGTGAAGATCCTTTTCCAGGAGCTCTGTGCCTACTTGGGCCTCCCCAAACTCAACCAGAGGCTGAAAGACCAGTACGAACACACACACACACTGGACAGTCATACCACTATCACTCAGACTGTGTTAATAGAGCCCTATAACATCTGCTAGATTCTCTTCATCATTATATTTTCACATACAAGGATTCTTTCATCAGCCTTTTGAAAAGCTGAAACATTGTGTGTCCATATTTAGAAGGTAGATGAGTCTTTACTGCTGAACTCGACAGTGACATTTGAACACATGTAAATATTTTGTTAGCACTCTACAGCTACAGCTGCCATGAGGCTTTGGCAGCCAAAGGTCAGACAAACTTCAGCTTTCGAGAAATATGACAGAAATCTCAGGACATTCAAATGCTAATGGTAAAGAGGCAGGTCGTGTATAAAAAGTAACAACATGGATTTAATATGAACATGAAGGTTTTAGGGCTGAAGATCAGAGAAAGACACAATAAAGTTGGACAACGTAAGAGAACAATGTGAGACTGGCTGCAGGTTTCAGCTGTTACTGTGCTTGTGTTTCTACTACTAGCTTGAAGAGTAGATTGGCTACAATGTGAAAACATGATGATGACTGGAGAGTGTATGCTATTTGTTACTAAAGTGTGTGTGTGTGTGTGTTTGTTTCAGGACTCTGCAGCCGTTCTTTGAAGGTCTGTTTCCTCGTGATAATCCCAGAAACACTCGCTTCGCCATCAACTTCTTCACCTCTATTGGACTGGGAGGACTGACGTAAGAGACACACAAAAACACATACACAATGTGGCCAAAAGTATGTGGACATCTGAACATTATAGCCTTAATATGTGATAGTATTGAGACATGAGATTCCAAAACCATGGGAGTTATTCAGATTTCCGAACCTGGCTCTTGGGATTTTGCTCTTTGTGCTTGTGCGCTGTGCTTGGAGCAGAAACACAACAAAATGTATTTATGAGTTGTTTATGAATATGATGACGTGATTATGAGCAATGTCAAATGATCAGTTTCACTGTTCTTCTTCTTCTTTTAAATAAATATAACCACGCTTTCTGTAATTGGTATGAAAACATTGTAGCTCTCCCAGATTTATATTTGTTAATATAATATATATATAATATTTAGTTAGTTCAGTTAAGTTAACTGAATGAGTACAAAACTAAGGTAAATGAGAAAAGGACTCTATCTCCCTTTTTGCAGAAGTAACATAAATTGTGTATGAATGCACAATTAATATTAATGTAAAATTTTAATATGAATTTATTTATTACAAAAACAGTTAAATTTTAAATGTTTAGGGCCTTCCCCAAACTGCCACACAGTTAGAAGCACACTATTGTCTCAAATATTATTGTATGCTGTAATTTCAGAGTCTATATTCACACATTGACAATGACCAATAACACTATATTGTGCATCAGCGTGTACCTACATGTATTTCACACACAATTTTTCTCACTCTCTCTCAGGGACGAGTTGAGGGAACATTTGAAGAACGCTCCAAAGATGATCATGACTCAGAACCAAGAAGTGGAATCCTCTGACTCATCCTCGTCCTCTTCATCCTCCTCTTCCTCATCTGACTCCTCCTCCTCGGACTCCTCCAGCGAATCAGATTCAGACTCCTCAGACTCTGACTCCTCCAGCAGCAGCAGCTCAGGTAAGTCTGTATTAATTTACTGCAGTTAAATATGTCCCCAGTGTGCAGGATGGTTACATTGCTGCCTCGGGGATTCTGGATAATTAAGACCTGAACTAATTAGACCCGATCCAAAAGCTGTTTGATCTGAATAGCTTCTGCTCCGGAAGCAGCTAAATGTTTTACCTAAAGTTGAGTGTGCGATAGGAAGCCATTGGGAGAGAGTTTCAGTCAGAACCATCACACCTGTAGCAAACACTTTCACTACTGCTGCTGCAGTAGCTCGAAAGATGATAAACTCATGATTGACAAGTAGATTTTATTAAAAACGAATTGAATGAATGAATGAATTAATTAATCCTTTTCAGATGGTTAATCCATCCATCCATCCATTTCTGCTGCTTATCCAGGTGCAGAGTGTGTTAATTAAATTTATTATATTAGGAGTAACTCTATCGCCCCTACTGCTTTTCCGTCATACTTTCATACATTGGTTGTATGATTATGAATAAAATTGCATTTGATGTGATGTTTAAAAGTTCTTAAATGTTTAAATTTAACTTGTTAAACCTGCACAACCGCTGTTTAAAAAGAAGAGTGAGCGAATAAAAGATTAATAGATGAGTGATTATTTATTCCTCTTGTGCTTCAGACTCGGACAACAAACACAGGAAGAAGAAGAAGAGAAAACAACAAAGTGAGGAGAAGAAGAAGAAGAAAGAGAAGGACAAGAAGAAGAAGAAGAAGGAGGACAAACCAACTGATAAGAAGCAAACCAGACACAGGAGCGACAAAGACGGGGAGGATGACAGTGACGACGAGAAGCAGGCGAGGAAGGACAGGAAAGGCCATGCACGTGAGTCGGAGGAGCGCGAGCGCGCACGTGAGGGCGCCCGTCGGAACAGACGAGATGAAAGAGCAGAAGAAGAAGAAGAACAGCGGAAAGAGGAGGAGAGGAGACGAAAAATGGACGTTCAAGGCAGGCAAAGGGATGGAGAGAGGGAGAGAGACAGAGACAGAGACAGAGGGAGGGAAAGAGAAAGAGAGCAAGAGCGACCAAGAGAGAGAGAGAATGAGGAAAAGAGAGACAGGGAGAGAGAGAGGAACAAAGAGAACAGAGACAGGAACAGAGAGAGAGAGGACAGGAGGAGGAGATAAAACTCTTCATCCCTCCGTCCTGAAGCAGCAGTGATGGACTGATGACTGACAGACAAGTGAATCTTTTCCTTCTGTCATCCCTCCGTTCTCCCCCCTATCCTGTCACTCTGGTGTTTTGGATTCAGGTCCCATCTCTCTCTACACCTCTTCCTCTCTCCCTCTCCGTCTTCGTCTGTCTGTATTTTCTATTGTTGATTTTTGTTGTTAATGAAATTAGAAAAAAAAAACATTAAAGTTGCTTTACATGTTTTCTAATCTGTTTCTGTTTCCAATGTTTCCAGTTCCCGACCAGGTGAACAGTGTTTTATTTACTGTGGCGTCACTGCGAGCAACCTCTGGACAGAGCTAGGCTAGCTGTTTCCCCTTGTTTGCAGTCTTTACACGAAGCTAAGCTAACTGTCTCTGGGTTGAACCTTCATATTTATCATACAGACATGACACTGGTATCGATCCTCTCATCAAAAGCATATTTCCCATACGTTTTCCTTTACATTTTGTTGTCATGCTAAAAACCACAAGACCTTTTCTGTCACAGACTTTGATGTTGACTTGACAGGAGGGTCCATCTCAGACGAGGTGTACTGATATACATGATTTTTCTTTGAAAGGAAGGTTGTGTTGGGGGGGTGCACCACACAAATATCTAAGTAACTGCAGAGTAAAATGAATAATCTAATAAATAAACCAGGTAGACAAAGGTGGACAAATAATATTATGGTAAATGTCCTCAGTCCTGTTGTAAAAGCAAGCAGGGAGTTGTGGTTTGTGTTGTAATAAATCTGAGTTTATATTTATAATCTAGTGAGACATGATTCATACAAACATCTCTGCCTCCACCTCTGCTTATAGCTGCTTCTCTTGCTTATGTCACCCCTTGCTTTTCACTCCAGTGACGATTATCCACTCATATTGTATCAATTCTAAAAATATCAGCGCTGTAACTGATGCAAGTAATACATAGGTCAATGAAACAACAGTAAACAGTGATAAAAACCCATTAAAATATACTGCAACACAAATTATTTTGTCTGACCAACAACCCAAAACCCCAAAATAGTTAGTTTAATATCATATGACACCAAGAAAATCTGATTTTTGGCATTTTTATTTCCTAAAATAGCCAATTCATTTCAATCGACTTTTTAGAGTTAATTAACTACTAATCTTGGCAGCTATAGATAACATACCAGCACTTCTAAATCTGACTAATTTACATGTTATTTGTGGTTTTAAACGGAATATTTCAACATTTTCCATGAAATTGGTACAGACACTGGTGTTCCCCTCAGGATGAATTGTAATAACATTGGTGAGACTCGTGGAGACATTAGACCCTTGAACAGATGGAAGCAGCTGTTTGAAATATCCAAACACTTAGGGAACCCTGATGATGCGATACTGCAATGTGACTAATCAGTTCTGTCAACACACAGTCACACACACACACACACACAATTTGCTGAAACCATAAACACACTGAAACTCGTCCTATTTCCGAGACAGAAGCAGCACAGAACCAGAGACCCACAGCCATGCTGCGGACCAACAGAACCTCTAGGTATCAGCGGTAAAAGACGATCTCAGGTCCTTTACTTAACTAAAAGTAGCAATATAGCACTGTAAAAATACTGCATTAAAAGCATCTGTCCTGCTTTCAAAATCTTTTGTAAAATTACACAAGTATTGTCAGCAAAATGTACTAAAAGGGGCCATTTGTAGCACCTTTAAGTTTCCTGAAGAACATGGTTTCTTGCCGGGAGCAGGTGTTGGTGATTGATTGTCAGAGTGATGAGCTATCTAGCGCTAACTTCAGCGGAAGAAAAGACGTGATCGAGACAAGAGTTAAGATTGATGTTGCTTTCCACCTCTGGAGTTAGGTCCGGGCGAGTAAAGGAATGAAGTTTGATGCTGAACTCGATCCTTCTAGACTGGTAAGTAAACAGCCGTTAATGCTAACGTTAGCTATGTAGCAATAGCAAAACTTACAAATAGCTCCTTTGATTTGAAACGCCACCAATCTCAAGAGGTGTTTCTGAATATAATTACATCCTTAAAAAAAACAACTTACTTTCACTTTCACTTGACTTTATTATTGGTTAATACATTTTGCTGGTACTTTATTGATCAGTTACAAGAGGAACCTTTGGGTTGCCAGGTTGTGGGAAATCCTCCTTCATGCCACTTTTCTTGTTTGTTTTTTTAGGTCTTAAATTCATTCAGGAGATTGAAGAAGTACAAATATCTCAAAATGGAATTTGAGTCAACGTACTCGGTTACTTCCCACCAATGCTGGGTGCCGCAGCAATGTGTAGTATATTTATGTTTGTTCTGTTTGTAAAGGCTCATCTGTTTCAGGTTTTACCACTTAAAACAAAAATGTAGGTTGTTGAAAGCAGTATTTTTGTTTACAGTAAACCATCTCTTCTGGTGGCATCAGCTCAGCATGTGCTGATGTCTGCACTTCGTTGACTTTTATCTCTTCAACAGGAACAACACAGTCTGAACTTTCCCGTCGTACCTGCCTGGTTTCTCCACGCCGTCCTGTGATCAGTGATGTGGAAGTCAACTGTGTGTCTGACTCTTTCCTCCACTATCTCTTGCACGTCACGATGTCGCTTCACTGCACATAATAAGTCTGGGCTGCCACTGACCTGAAAGAAAAACTGCATTAATGTTGTGAGTCTTCCCTAACACACACTGTGTTCAAGTGTGTTGTTTAGCTTCTGACTGTATTAAGAAGCAGTTTGCTGTCTGTAATTGTGCACGGCTGCAGAATAGTGTTGTTTGCACCAACTGCACACACAGGATATGCATATAATATTAATTAGGGGATTTGATCCTCACAGTGTAAACACACTTAGCATTTTATTATTTAATTGGGTTATTTATTTGTTTTTAGGACACATTTCTAACTCCTGCTGTTCCTAATGAAGCGCCCTCTTTGCTCAAACAAATTACTGTTGGTACTGGACTACTTTGTGGCCAAGCACAGTTATAACACACACTACACAAAGGAGACTTAACATGTTAATAACAGGTGATTGTAGGTTTTTTTTTAAACATTTGGACAGAGCCAGGCTCTTTCCAGTCTTTATGCAAAGCTATGTTGGCTGTAGCCTGATTTTGAACGATTCAGTCTGTACAATGACTCTCCTATGTGTATGGCGAGGGGAAGACATATATTTACCCACCTACCTATCTTATTTTATACGATTTATGTAAAGTAGTTGCTGCAACACTTCAATTTCACTTTGGGATTATCTGTCTGTCTGTCTGTCACTATTCGTTTAAGAAGAAGCACTGAATCAGAAAGTTTGCACCAAACTGGAATCTATTGCTTATTCTCTCTTATTCTCTCTCTCTCTCTGTGTGTGTGTGTGTGTGTGTGTGTGTGTGTGTGTGTGTGTGTGTGTGTGTGTGTGTGTGTGTGTGTGTGTGTGTGTGTGTGTGTGTGTGTATATACTGGTTTTGCTCCCTGTTACTGCCAGCACCCACTCCTCACACACACACACACTCTGCTGTATCCTTGTACAACCTTGATGTGATGTTCAAGGTGAGAGGGGGAGATGCCTGCCTGCCTGTGTGTGTGTGTGTGTGTGTGTGTAAGTGGGTCGCTGCAGTGCTAGATTGGGATTGGTTGGATGTCCTGAGGAGCAGAGGAGTCGGATTGGTTTGCTGCTGCAGCAAATGGAGGAACAGATCCACTGGGACCTGGGAGCTGCAATGAACTCTGGGAAACCACAGCAAGGCCCTCAGCTGAGTGAGGTGGGGGAGGGGGGGGGGGGTTCAGGATAAAGTAAGAAAGCTAATATTGATCTCAAAGTTTCCAGAGACATTTTAATTTCATGTGTTTATTTAGAAGGACAACACACATTCATCAGCATTGCTGTGAATGTGTGTGTGTTAGCCGGCTGCCTGATTTTCAACAGTCCTTTGGCGAGATGTTCTGAAACCAACACAAAGCAACAAAACACAGCTAAACAATACTGATTATAGACTGAATTTTGGGAAGATAGTCCAACATCCCCTCTGTTTTAGCTCCGGTTTGGTCTCCACCCACTCACCCACTCCTGTGTTTGTCTGCTGTTTGGTGCTGAGCAGGGAGAGCACCTATCCTGCAAAAATACACACAAAATAAACAGCAGTATGTGTGTTCATGGTAATGAAGGAAAATGTCAGAGAACACCAGTTTATATCACTGTGATATACAATATATCAGGCTTTTGTACAGGGACAATACTTATTAGTGGAATCGATTCATCGTTGTTTTGGCTCTTCTCATTGGATTTGTTGACAACTAGTAAAATACAAAATATCACCAGACTTATCCTTTAAGGAGGAAGTGTGGACTTCAGCCCCAGGAGTTTCCCATCATGCTTTGGGTTGGTTGGAAAGTGGGCACCAGTCAGTCTGCTGAGCTTCAGGCAGACAGGCAGACGTATCTCTCAGAGCAGCAGTGTGAAATGCCTCAGCTCTCTGACATGATACCTGTCTGTCCGTCTGAACTCTGGTACTGAAGAATCTGTGAGCCACTGATAGTGCACCCTGAGGTGTGCTAACAACACAAATGAGAATCAGCGTGACCGCAATATGAGACAAAATGACCTCAGTGAGACTCAGAAAGTCACGCAGAGATTAGAAAATAACCACAGACACTGAAAATGACCACAGACAGATGCAAAGCGACCACAATATGAGACAAAGTGACCGCAAAGAGATGCAGTAATTGTTTTGTGTCTCTGAATCTGTGTCTCTTGTGTCTTGTCTTTAATATGTTTGTGCCCAGGGGCTCATCATCTCATGATCCGTCCGTGGTGTGAAGCTAGAGAGAAGTGATCTTA